GTTTCTTCAGAGTTCACTAGTTAGTGAGCAGGCACAGAGTATGGAAATAGTTTGGTTTGACTAGGCTCAGGCTTTGCCTGGAAAATTTCCAGAAAGAGTTGAAGACAGAGGAACTAAGACGCCTGTGCCGGAAGTAGCAGGGCAGTGTTGGGCAGGGCAGCAAGCAGAGGTGATGGAGGGTGGAGACTGCTGGGTCCAGGTACTGGGGGACTACTCTAGGTCAAAGCATTGCACAGGGGTAGAGGAAGAGGAGTTGAGCCAGAAGGAGGGGAGGTGATGAAATAGTAGCAAACGAAACTGTGGGGAAGTACAGTTGTGGGACACGAGGTCAAAGGTATAAAGCCCATTTCACCTGCTCTTTCCACTCTTGCCTCGTATGGTCCCTTAAACATACATTGCCTTCTCCCAACTCTGCATCTCGGAAGTATCCTTTCTCAGCCCCTCCTTTTTCTCCTGTCTTTCACTAAGATTGTTCATACCCATTCTTCAGCTCCTTTCTCTAGGAAATCAGTGGCATCTCAAGCCAGAAAGTTATTTTCTGTATGCTCTTACAGTACTATTTATACTCTTCAGATTGTATTTATTACATTTTGCCTTTTAATGAGACATTTCTCCTTGTGTCTTATCTACTCTGCTAGGTTTGAAGTGCTCAAAAGCAAGGACTGGAACTCCGTAACTCTTCAATTGGTATGCTGGCCCAGGCTTCGCCTTGTATCTTTCTGCCAGTAGGAGCTGAAAAAATATAGATTTTAATCTCCTAAGTACAGGAACAGTGTAGTAAATGCTCAATAAGTATCTATTGAATGGAGTTAATGACTCAGCACATTAGGAGTATCATTTTATATTTCTCACATTGGCCTTGTTTTCATGTATCTACGAACCAGTGTTCCAGTGAATCTCTTCTCTCTTTGATATGAAGTCATTAGTTTAAGTCCAGTCCAGTTCTTCATTATAGATTCTAATAGTGACATAGACCTATTATATGTCACTATCCATGTATGACATGAATATAACATATAATTATAATGCTACAGTAATAATTGTATGAAGTTCCATATAATGCTCATTCCATGACAGGCACTATTTTAAATACATGTTTTAATGCACTGAATCTTCGTGATAATGCTGAGTGTTATTATTATTCCATTTTAGAGAAGAGAAAACTTAGAGAAGTTAAATAATTATCCAAAGTCACACAGAGAGTTGGCAGTATAACTAACAATAAAAATTCAATAAATGCTAGTGTTTTCTAACTTTTGGGTTGTGACATGTAGTGAGAAATACACTGCGATCCATGACATACAACTGAATCAGAGTTCCACAAGTAAATATTTACTTCCACAATATGCAATGTACTCTGATATTTTCTGTTTGATTTTATTCTATTTTATTTCACTAAAAATTCCAGATGGAACTCCCTAAATTGATTTCACAATTTATATATAGTTTGAGATTCACAAGCTACAAAATGGGGCTCTAACCAGTGTGTTTTACTGCTTCCCTTTACTGGAATAGTTGAATGATTTGTTATCCTTCTCTACTTTTCCTAAATCACTGGTTCAAGTTTCATTTCTTTGAAAAAAAAAAGCACTATCCTAACCCATGTGCACAGGAAATAACATCTAGTGAAGCTGCTGTTTAATTACTGAGTGTTGAGCATAAGTTAAATGACATATTCCCTTCTGAGTTACAAGTAACCCAGCTACAGAATTGCTGGAGGATTAGTTAAGACAATTCTAATTGAAAAAGAAATATAATTAAGTTCAGCGAAGTCAGCTTCTCTCTGAGGCAAACGGCTCTCCCATCCAAGGACCCCTTCTCATTTATATCACACTGAGAAACGTTGTTAGTAAGTAGAAGCCTGAATTCGGTTTTTCTCATTCATGCCTTCATCTCAGTTACCAATTTACCAACACATTTATTTGGAAAAGTTTTATTAAATGTGAATGTTAAGCACCATGCTTAGTTTTCTTGACGGGGCCCTGGCTTCAGTTTAAAGCTCAGTGTCCCAGTGCCCCAAGGGAAAACTGCTCCAGCCAGGTGGGAGGACAAAGTGAGGACCCCATGCATTGTCTGAAGGAGACAGTCAGGGAACATATCAGCCAGGTGATGATGCTGAGGCTGGGCTTGATGAGCAAAAAGGATTTTGCAGGGAAAGAGCAGCTGGAGAAGCAGGGGCGGGTGGGAGGCAGGGAGAAGATGTTCCAAGCAGAAAGGAAGGAGTGCCAAAGAAAGACGATGAAATGTTCAATAAAAGGCACCTGGAGTGGCATGCGGGCTGCTTGTGCTGAATCCATGAGACACGCGGCAGGGAGAATGAACAGTGTTGATTACGAAGATTTTGTGGCCTACAAGGAGTTTGCAATTCACGCTGTAGGTGACAGGAAGCCATGAAAGAATGTTTGGCGGTTAAGTGGCACAGGCAGTGTAGTATTTAAGATTTCAAGGGCCTTGTGTAGGAGTGGTGGTGAGACAGGACAGGCGAAGTGGGAACTACAGTGAAGAAGAGGTGCGGATTGAGAAATCTGCAGGCAGTAGAGTGCACAGGAGTCACTGACTATGCTGAGTGGGCTGTGGATCCAGATTCTGCTTTAGGGATCCGGGCAGATGACGGTGCCCTTTTCCAAGGCAGGAGCTGAAGGAGAGTGAGCATGTAATCAAGACAGACTAGTAAATTTTAATTTAGAAGGCTGCATTTGAGGCCACCAAGAGACATCCTGATGTGACACACCACAAGCAGGCAGATGTTCTAGAGTTCAGGGATATTTCTGGTGACAGGTATAGATTTGCGAGTTCCAGGTTCCAGTTGGTAGTGGAAGCATTATGTGTGAATTGGTGTGTGTATGCAGTAACAAAAAGAGGGCAAAATAAACTGGGCAGTGCCTACCAAGTTTTAAGGTGGCCCAAAGAGGAAGAATACATTTTTAGAAAAATCCCTGAAAGTGTTAGACAAAGGGAGTGAAAGAGAATTGGGAATGATTGCCATTGTGGATATCACAAAGGAATGAATTTCGACAAGGAATTTTCAACAATCTTGAATAGCATAGTGAAAGCCTGGCAAGTGCTGGCTGGCAAGTTCAAGGATGGGACAAAATATGTGGTGCTAGGGTGGAAGTGGACTGCAAGAGTGGGCAGCATAGTTATCCCAGCAACAAGAAAAACAGGAGAAGGGAATGAGAATACAGCAGGGGACCATGGGAAATGCAGTGGGGGTGGGGGTGGGAATGCAGCAAGGGCGTTGGGAAATAACAGCGGGAGAGGGGTGGAATGGGAACTGCAGCAGGAGGGAACAGGCATGCAGTGGGAAGAACGAGAAAGCCACAGAGCTGAATGGGAGATGGAGCAGAGGGAGTGGAAATGCAGCAGAGGAAAGGGCAACATAGCATCATAATTAAAAGGAAATGCTGGTGCCGGTTTCATTTGTTCAGTTAATATTGACTGAGCATCCACTTGGTTTTGAGCACTTGAGTAAATCCTAGGGATATATCAGTGAGCACAATAAGAAAACAGTTCTTTTCTTTACAAAGCTTATATTCACAGCTCACCTGAGATTGAATCCTGAATCTGTCACTTCTGTCTTCTGTAGCCTTGAGAAATTTTTAAATCTAAGTTAGTCTCAGTTTACTACCTATCAAATGGTGCAATGACAGCACGGATGTCAGTGATGTCTCTGGGTAGCTGTGAGCAATCACTTGGTTCTGTGCATGACACCTACTTATCTCTCAATAAGTGTTAACTATGTTAAGTAGACTGTGGGCTATTTTTTCCAGAGATGTGTCTATTATAGTAATTAAAAGAGACCTGATCACAGCTAAAAGCAAACCCATGATGGAAGAGTACATTTCTTACGATGAGAGAGGCCTAGCTTGTTTTCGGACATGGGGAAAAATGAGAAGAAACATAATCTACAGCATGAGGACCTGAAGGAGACTGGAGGGCCCTTGAGATGTCATTGAGTGGACAGCCACTCACAGCCTTTGCTCCTCCTCACCCAGGGGCTAGGAAACCATGAGTATGTTTGTGCTCCTTTCCTTTTCACTGTCTTCTCAAGATGGTCTGGATTTAGGCTGCCCAGCCCACCCAAGGAGGAAGTGTGCTGTTGGTACATTCCAAGGGAAGTGGCCCCATCACGTGGCTGGCTATTTACCCCACAGTTCCAACTCTTTGTTTTTCATATCAACCTGGAATTTCAATGCTTTCTACATCCTGTCTTCCTTCTCAAAATTCAGGAGCAGGAACACAAAAGGTATGAAGTCAAGGTAGAACTGACTCCTATTCTGGCAGCAACTGGCTGTGTAAATTTGGAAAATCCCTTAATCTTTGAGCCTTCCTTCCCTCCCTTGAGAAGACAAGACTAACATCTATGTTGTGGTATTGATGAAGCAATAATGCACAATAGGACAGGCCTTTGCTTTGCCCTGTGTTTTGTTTTTGTTTTTTCCCTTACGGTGTTTCTGTCCCAGAAATGTAACCATTTGGGCTGCATGTATCAAGTGTTTTGTTCAAACAATGTAACTGCTAGTACCTGATGTTTCTAGCTTCTACCTATGTCCCTGCCCTAAAAGATTCCTCTTAACTTCCCTTCCCCAATTGAATATAAATGGAATCTTGCTGCAACTCAGGGCTCAGAATTCAGAGCAGGCAAACTCCTCTGAGCTGGCTAATAAAAGGTTTTTCCCCATCTCTTTGAGAAACTTTCAGCTTCACAAGTCTTCAAATTGCTGTAGCTGTAACATGGAGCTGTAACACTTGGCAGTAATAATGAGCCGTTCCACTTTGTCTCAACAGTATTATTGTAGGATTACATCTGAAAATGGAAAGTTCCTAATCCACTTCCTGACATACAGTGAGCACTCAATAAACATTTTTCTCATCTGTGGTAATCCCCAAGCTTATACTAATTTACTGCTTTCTTGAAAATGATAAACACAAAGAACCACAAGATTCCATAGTAGTTTATGGTCATTTACTTAACAATTTCTCATTTATAAAATGGAGTAAGAATAACTACTACCTGCCCCCCAGCACGGAGAACACGATACAAGCATGTAATGTCCCTCTTTGTGGTCATTTTGAATATTGCTATATGAAGGCAAATTAGAAAATGCTCACAGCCTACTTTTCCATCAGGACCAAAATCCTAGTAAGGTAAGAAGTCCTTATCTTAGATGCTGCACTGAGATGGAAAACTGATGTGTGGTTCTATACTGAAGACCAGATAAGAATCCTTAAAACCAAAGGGCACTTTTCCTTAAAATCAAGCAGAGCCATTTGCATTTTAGGCAGCATTTCCATGACTGCCAACTTAGGAACCGAAGACAGATTAACCCGGTAACATGGGGCTCTGAAGAGAATTCTTTTCTTTGTGATAGACCAGACCTTCATAGGAAGTATATGGTCTGGAACCAAAACAATCGGTATGGAAGAAAATGGAAATGAAGATATATTCAGACAAGGAAAAAGGGCCAGAGAAACACAGCAGGGCAGGCCACCAGTAGGATCTTCCTTCATAATGCCAAGAGGGGGCCTGAGATTTGGCCCCTTCCAGACGCCAATTTGAGAATTCCACAGCAGCCTGGTTCTTGCTGGTTTGACCATCCTGCTTCTGTCATTTTGTGGGACACAATTACACTGCGGTCTCTTACATTCATGTGGGTGCACACTGCCCTTTATTAGACTGGGGGGCTAATGCCTTTTCCCCCAAGTTGAGTTTCTCCCTTCTGACTGATGCTGTTTTCCACAGTGGTGTCTGCCATGACATCAAGCTTCTGTGAGAGGTCAGCAAAGACAGAAGGTTGAAAAAAGGATATTACATATATGATTTCTCATCTTTCTTACCTAACTTTCTCCAACACATTACATTATTAGTCCTCCACTAAGCCTTTGCACTGCTTGTTCCTTCTGCATACAGAACTTCTCCCCAAGATGCCCACACAACTCATTGCCTCCCTCTCTCTCTCTGTTCATGTGGGGCCTTCTCAGGGAGGCCTCCCTGACCACCACCCTAGACTGTCTTCCATTATTCCTGTTTTACTTCTGTTTATAGCATTAATCACCATTCAGCACACCAAATCTTACTGGCTTTTTAAAATCACTTGCCTTATCTTTCTAGATCTTAAGCTTCATTAGGGAAGAGATTGATCAATGCTATACCTTCAGTCATGAGAGTTTACCTGGCACACAGGAAATGCTCCAGTATTTGCTGGACAGAGAGAAAGGAAAAGATGGAAAGGGAAAATGAAGATATACAGAAAGGTAAGATTGCCTTAGTCACCTGATATTCAATTTGGCAAACTTAGTTTCACCTGTTCTCTGTGCTGAGTCCCTGATCACAACCCTGAGTACAGAAATGCCTTCATGGTCAGATCTTTATGGTCAGGACCTTTCCCTCTTGTTATTCTCTAAGGACTAAGTAGAAAACAAATGGTATAAGAAAGAGAGTGAGCATCAGAGGAAGAAAAATTCGCATTGTTCAAGTGACTGAAAAAGACTTCAAGGAGAAGGTGACATTGAGGTGCCATTCTATGGAGCAGTGGGAGTATAACTGGGAGTTTTGGTGTGTGTGATTGTAAGGAAGTATTCACACTCGTTTAGAGGTGGTAGAGATTCTTGGATGTCGTAGGCAGCCAGGGTTATGGGGTGCTAAAGATAGTCACTGCATTGTACCAGTATTCCTATGACGCCTCAACGCAATACCCAAACCTTCAACTTAGAGAGGAGGTTTAATATGACCAAGTTCCAGTCAAGTCTCCAAGGCAGAGGCACCATGATGGAAGGCTGTGGTTGAGCACAGCTGCTTAGTTCATGGTGGTTGGAAGCCAAGCAGGAGAGGGGTGCCAGAGAGGAAGCAGCAAGGGACCAGACATAGACCCCAAGGCCATGCCTCTGTGACCGACCCAGATACCCCTAGAAGTGTGCTCTGCCAGCCCCTGGGGTAGAACCCCAAAGTCAGTCCAGTTGACACTTTACCCTAACCATAGTCAGCCTAGCAGATACGAAAGATGGATGGCCATGAGGAGCTCTGAGGGGAGAAGATCCTTCCTGACAGAGGAAAGGAGGGCCTGACGCAGATGAGGGGAGCGTTTGCACACATTCCAGGGGGAGGTTTGCTAGGTCTTGATTTATAATGAGGTGAGGAACTGTGGACAGTCAAATCTGACCTTGGTTTTGAGCCTGAGAATGGCAATGGTGTACAAGGTGGGGGAATTTGCAGAGCCCTAGGGGCTGGATTAATTGCCTCATCCTCACTTTGAGTAGGAAAGCCCTAGAACTAAGATATTCAAGTAAATCTGTTGGAATTTGGCAATGCTGATTTTTAACAACCTGCTCTACAACCTGAAAGAACGATGACCAATTTTGTCTTGAGCACTGAACTCCTGGCCTAAAAGCGACTGTGGTGGAAACACAGTGGGTCTGTCCGCACCAAGTTGTTATTACATCTGGAATGTTACTAAAGTCCTGCCATGCTATTCATAGGTGAGGAGGGGTGGAGTGGGGTTAGCTCAGGATCAGGCCAGATCGCGGCTAATGAATTACTGGCTCCCTGTGAGTGCTCCCTGCTGCTTTCCTGTTTCCTTTATGTATCCCCTTTTGTTGCTGTTGGCCTCAGTGGCTCTGCTGTATCCCTGTGCAGATAGTCCATCCCTGCCAGGCCCCACCAGGGAACGACTTGCATTTGTGAAAGGAGAAAAGGGCACTAAATGGGCCTGAGAGATACAAGCTGAGACACTCCAGGATGCTGGGACACTGCTGGGGCCTGAGCAAGGCAGGGTTATTATTTTTCCTTTCTCCGCCATCAAAAAAGGAAGCTATGTGTGGCATCTAAATTGCAAGGCCTATGCTTTGAGCATGCACTGGACCTATTGACTTTGCGTAATTGGGTAAAGAAGGGGAAATTGTTATAGATTGAATACCACCTGCAGGGACCCAGAGCCCAGGTGAGTGCAGTTGCTGCTGTGATATGGAAACTCACAGCACACTGCCTTTCCCACAGGATGCCAGGAGGCCAAGCTTTTTGCCCTCTGCTGTAGAAATGGCACGAGTCTGTAAACACTTCATGATCCTGGCCCTGAAAAGTGGGACTCTAACCTAGCTGACAGAGTGGCTGAGGAAGTTAATACAGATTGAAGGAGAACATGGGTCCAGACTTCACAGGCAGAGAAACTAGGGTGAGAGGCCATTAAGTTGGACACAGCCTCCAGGCCACGGAAGGGCTCTCCAGGGCTTCAGGAGCCAACACTCCAAGAAAGAGCGTTTGGAGCAAAGAACTGAGCTGGTGTCCTCCCAGGCAGGTAAGGGTGACAGGCTGAGCCCACGTGGGCAGACAGCACTCCCTTGAGGTTGTGTGTCTGGCTGATGGTGCCACTCAGGACAGTGCTGTCATCTTCCTTCTGGGGGCTACTCTTGTCCGGGATGAGGGAGTTAAGGCTGAAGCAGGTTAGAGAAGAAAATTAAGAAAGAAGAGAAAGGTTTGAATCAAAAATAGAGACTTGACCAAAGCTGGACATTTAGCATCACGTAGAAAAGCAGAGGAAGATTTAGGTTTCTGTGTGCTCATTTTGTTCTGCTCCTGAGATGGTGACTTAATCACAGGGCAGGGTGTGTGTCTTTGTCTATATTTGAGTCTATTTTACCCTCCCTTCTGTCAATCCTCACAAACTTGTGTAGCAAAGCATTCAATCCATTTCCCAAACTCTCTTGAGAAGGCCTCTCTCCCAGGTGTATTAGTCAGCTTTCCTGTCACTGGGACAAAATACCTGCCACCCACAATTTAAAGGAGGGGAGATTTCATTTGGATTATGTTTAGAGGGCTTCAGTCCATGATTGTCTGGCTCCAATGCAGGAAAAGCATGGTGGAAAGGCATGGTCAAGGGAAAATGCTCAACTCATGAAGCTAGGAAGCAGAGAGAGAAGAGAGGAGCTGGAGATAAGAATACACCCTTCCAGGTCCCACCCTGAGTGCCCAGGGGCCACCTCCTCACCGCACATTCAGCCATGAACTTATCAGTGGGTTAATCTACTGATGAAGAGACTCCATGATTCAAGCACTTCCCAACGCCCCACCTCTGAACACCTGAGACATTTGGAAACAATTTAGATCGAAACCATCTCACCAAGCAAGCTGCTGCCTCCCTTTCTCAATCATTTTTGTTAACTAGTTTGAATCCTGCTTCTCTGATGGTCACCCTTGATGATAAAGGCCAACCATGGCCAAGCCCCGTACAAGGGATTTCGGGGCATCAGAGCAATAGTGCTATAGGAGTCTAGGAATTTTCTTTTCTGATAATTAGGGTAGAAGTGCTTGGCAGTCAGTGTGACGTGAGAGCCTCCCAGGGCCAAAGCTACGTTAGGAAGGGTGATATGAATTCCTTAGTAACCTCATGGCAGCCTATGTCTCCCTGGTTCATATTTCCTTCACATTTACATAAGAATGACAGTGATTTGTAGAATAATGTGGGAGAGGGATGGACATAATACAGACCCAGTGGAATAAGGCAGAGATAGATGGTTTAGAGTATGAAATACCAGAAGGTCATGGCTAAGAAGTGCCTTGGCCAATAATCTGGTGCAGTTTTTTGTCCCTAGGAAAATACCTGTGTTTGTTAACTTAGCAGGAGGGCAGGAGAGGGACATAGTGCAATCAGGAATTCTACGGGAAGTCTCAACCTTCCTGAGATAGGCTCAGCTCCATGGGAAGTCAGGCTGTAGAGCAGCCGGAAATGTGGCTGAACCACATCTCTTCCTTTGGCACTTCCTCTGATCCCTCAGTGCAACCATCCATTGGCGTCCTGACACTCAGATGGGAAAGCAAGGGGAGCCAGAGCACGTTTTGTGGCTTCATGCAATTCATTTCTTTCTGGTAAATGTTTAGAAAGGATCTGCCAAGTTGTTTTCTTCACATGATGTGTCAGTAATAATGACTAAATCAAAGTCATAAGGAAGGGCGTATGTCTGTTTCTATGTTTGGTTCCATTTTACTTTCGTGTCTGCCACATCATCCTCATCACCTTATGTTACATTTTTCTTCTCATAGATCCCTGCAATTACCCATGTCTATCATCATGAAAGGAGCAAGGTGCAATGGAGAGAACACTGGGCTTGGAAAACCTGGGATCCCCTTTTTTCTGACTGCATGACCTTGGAAATGTAACATCTCTCGCTTTTTCTTCTGCAACATGATAATGCTGTCTACCTGCTATGGATGTTATGAAACTTAAAAAGATAATTGTATGGGAGCAATTTCTGTTCCTAAGTCACCTACCTCTTTCTGTCTCTTCCTTCCTTCCCTCCAATTCCAGATTTTGATATACTATTCTCTTTTAAAAAAAATTTATTTTGGGACAGGGTCTTGCTAAGTTGCCCAGGCTGGCCTCAAAGTTATAATTCTCCTGCTTCAGCCACCCAGAATGCTGGGACTACAGGTGTGTGTCACTATGCATGGTTTCATTATACTCCCATAGGTAAGTGTGTCTACTCTCATTGCAATTAAATTGTGGCTTTTCATAATCTGTTGTGGAATTATTCCTCAAAATGAATCGGGCTAGATGAGTACTCTTTTCTCTGAAGAGGAATTTATACATCCATCTCAGACCCCAAATCCTTTCCATTGGAGCTAGCACAGCAAGCATAGTCACACTTCCTGGAATAAGTGACTGGTTCTACATCTTTAAGTGTATGCAGCCACCTAGGATCCGATCCTCATGTTTGCTGGGGGCATATGTAATTTCCCAAGATTTCCAAAGGAAGCCCTAGCAGAGTGTTCTTTAAGGGCAAGACTTTCTGTTTTGCAAGCTGTGTATCTTGAACTCCTACAATAATATCTGGCACATAATAGAGACTAAGTATTTAACTGAATGAATGAGTGAAGACAAATGAGCTCTTTTCCTAGAATCTTCTTCACAAAGGCATTGTACTGGAATCATTTCCGCTGGCTCCCCTAGCCTTTGTGATCATTGTTAAATTGTAGCAGACTAGCTTTATGAAAACTTGCCAGTGTTTATCCTAAGAAAAAAAGATAGACAAAATAAAACTTCCTTATTTCTCCTCTACTGTCACTACAATCGCCAGAGTAAATAAAACAATAACATACGATCTTCTACTTGTGTACATTATATTACTATTAGATAATGTAGAAAATAAATGATACATTATGTAACTAATCTTATGTAAATATAATCTATATAAAGTTGTCAGGAAATAATGTCTCCTCATTATATTCAGGTTACAATTTAATTAACTGAAGTTCACTTGCCACTGTGCTATACCTATGAAAGCAAAATACAGTCCAGTGTTAACTATCAGAGAAGAAATAAGCCCGTAGCTCATGAAGCCTTTTCTTAAACCACCAATTGAAGTGGACACCTTTGTTCCTCTCACACTTATGAGATTTGTTTCCAGGAATACAACTCCTGGCATGAGTTGGGAAGAGCAGAGCTTTGCCTCCATGCCCGCGTGGTGATCTGGCAGCAGGAGCATGAAGGGTGGGTACTCAATGTTGAAAACAAATTTTTCAGGAAACCCAGTGCCTACTGCAGCCAGTGAGGAAACTGACCAGTGCAAAACCGCTGCAGAGCAATTTTAACCTAGAAAATTGCTTACAAGGAAATTGTTTACTGTATCTTTGCTGAATGAGAACTTTGAGTTGTTATATGAGGAACAACTGCAGAGAACGATTTTTTTTCCTGAGACTGAGGCAAAAAAACATAACAGGCCCCGGAGAGCTCTACAAGCTGAGATTCAATGGCCAAATCACAGCCAGGGCTGCTTCACCTTGAGGATCCTGCTCACACCGTCCGGAGATAAGGTACTGCCTGCCAGGGTGGGAAGGCTGCAGGGCCAGCTGCCCAAGCAGAGGCTGCCTTGTGGACAAAATCAAGCTCTCCTCCTCCTCCACCTGCCTCCATTCCCCTCGGGGCTCTCTGCCCGTAGAAGTAACACGCTGCGGTTGGCAAGGGATAAAGAGCCCTGGGGACGTCCAGCTCGGTACCACAGACAGGACAAAGAAGATGCACATTTGAAACGTTGAGGCCGCAGATTAATAACTAACACCCCTACACGACATAATGGGGTGAAAAAGATGGCTGGGCTTTGCATATTTTGACCATGAGCCCTCTGCATTCCCCAGGCTTTGGAAATTTGCACCATCTCGTGGCCCTGAGTTTTCTTTCTTCCATTAAAGGCCACCATTTGAGCCCAATGTGGACGCTATTTTAGCATGACCCAGTGAGCTTTTACTAAATACCGAGTAGCACTGGTATTTTCAAACTCTCCTAAGGCAACTCCGATATGCAGCCAGAGCTGAAAATCTCTGCACCAGACTGGCAAGGAGTAGATGGGCACAGGAATCATGTTTAGAGGCACTGAAGGCCTTCACTGGGGGCCTCAAAATATTTCCTTCTCTGCAAAGTGAGATGTGGGAGGGAAACATGATTTGTCCCAGCATCATGAGGAAGGGCAAATGAGATAACAGAGGTGGGATGTTTAATCACGATGCTGCTGATTATTAAGTTTTCAAAAGGTAATCTTTTTGGTAACAGGGTTGGTAATTTTCAACCACCAGTGGTGGTTTGTTTCACTGGCAAAGACCATTTTAATTGGCATTTTCAGAATGGCCAAACAAGGTGACATTTTCCAATAAAGCAAAATGTTGCATGGTACAAAAGGACATGGTTTTCCAAGACTGGGTGCCAAAGTGTAAGTAACTAATTGTTGAGCATCAGAAAGAAGTGTGTAATACAGAAGCGTTGCTAGGCATAATGGCATCACATTACATTTATCCCAAGTACTTTACGATGTGAAGAATGCCTTCACATCAATTTTCTAGTTGACTCTTTGCAATCAACCTGAAAGGCTTTGACTTAGGTGTAGAGGGTGGCTCTGGGAATCAGCCTCACTGGTGTTCGACTACTGACTTTTCACTTGGTGTCGGTGTGGCTTTGAGCAAGTTGGTGAATCTCTCCTAACCTCAATAATTACATTTGGAAAATGGGATTATTAGGAAGATTCTGTGAGATAATAAATGAAGGGGTCTGGAATATAGTAGGCCCACATTAAATAATAACTTCCATCAGCTATAATTTAAAGGAAAAACCATCCTCTCCCATGATTTCTGGGGGGTATTTTGGACAAGAGAAATAATCACACTGCTCTTTGTACTGGGATTAGGGAAAGATCTATAAAAAAATTAATCTAATCTTCAAGACTTGGTGAAGAACAGAGAAGCACTGACATTTAGAGCTCTCATGGTGTGGGCTGATGAGAGGTATAGGCAGCCTCATATAGGGGCCGTTTTGTAGCTCGTGGGTGGGAACTTCTTGGTGTGTAGTTTGAGAAGAGAAGGGAAAGCAGGAGCCAGAGCCACTCTTCCTTTGGTGAAGACACTACTGTGCATGGTGCTGCAGCCATTAGGAGGATGGGTGTACTTGTGTGTGTGTGTGTGTGTGTGTGCGCGCGCGCATGTGTGTGTTCTATGGGAAGGCAGAGGAAGGAAAATTTCTTCCAAACACAAATGCTTCCTGAGGTTAGAGGTCAGGAGAGATGGCTGGAACTACACTCACCTGGGGAGCAGTTACTGAGTAAAGACATTGAAATTGAAATATAATGTCCAAATTCACTGTGCCAGCTAAGCAGAGCCAGTGTGCTAGCTGGAATCAGCCTTCAGGACACCAGTTTTTGAACTCAGATTCTATTATACATTGGATAATACCAGAAGTGTGTACTGGTTAACTAGGAAAAACAAAACCCTACTGTCATGGAACTACTTAAAGATTGTGGAGGGCCAAAGCCCATGTTTGATTGCCCTGACTAAGCCCCTGTGATATCAGATGAGTGTAAACCATTCAGATTATGGGGCACATACATGGGGGAGTTAAAGTGTCTTGGGGTTGGCCTAGAAGAAGAGGAGGGACTAATTCCAAGGCAAAGAACAGCTCTGTGGACATGCTTCCCTAGACGAGAGGGACAGAGAAGCAAGATCTCATCGATGGAAAGCTGAAAAGAGGTGCATCCTTAGAAGATCATAGGTTCTACGTTGGAGAGTAAGTTGAGGAATTATACCCATGACCTAAGCTCTTACAATAGGTTTACCTCTTGATTTACCTTTCATTATCATAGCAATAGTCATATTTAATGTCCCTGTCAAATTTGAAATTTATGTGTAGATTTCTGTTGGGTAGACTAACTTGCCAGTATATCATGTGTTGTGGTAAGATACGGAATTACATATCTGAGCTGGAACAGTCAATTGAGCCTTTCCTGTGTTCATTCTGCAACTCCAAATGCAGGAGGAGAGGGGTCCAGGCACTACCAGTGATGCTATCCATGAAGTAAGCAGTGGTCCATAGTGATGCTGAAAGTCAAAGCAAACAGTGGCTGCAGCATAGAGCTGAATTAGAGGTTTGTGTGAAACTCCTCCCCCTTTCCCCAAATGCACTGGTGTTCATCTTGACTGCTTATTAAAATCACTCAGGGAGGTTTTAAACCACCCTGTGGCCAAGCTACACCTCAGAACAACTGCATTAGAATCTTTGAGAGCTGAGACTCAAGCATCAGTATTGGAGAAATACCCAGGTGACTCCAATATGCAAAGAGAGGTTCTGCTCAAAGTAACTTTTGTGGAGGGAGTAAAGGTTTAGAAGTGAGAAAGCAGAAGCCTATTGGAATTAATGGTTTGTTGAAGACCACAATGAAAGCTTCAGCATTTTTTGACAGGCTTCCCCTACTGGCTCAGTACCCTGTTTCCAGTGGTCATTTCCACTGTCCTGATCATTCTAAAATTCTCCAAGGAAATTGCTTCCAGAAGACAACTCATACTTATGAAAGGATTACTTCATGCTTGTAAAAGGGCGGAAATAGAAACATCATAAGCTCTCCGTGCCTACGGGTTCCACATCCTTGGATTCAACCCGTCACAGATCAAAATATTTGAAAAACATCATATCTGTACTGAGCATGTATAGACCTTTTCTTCTTATCCTTACTTCCTAAACAATACAATTACCCATTATTTACATAGCACTTACACAATATTAGGTATTATTAGTAATCTGGAGATAATTTACATTATATAGGAGGATGTGGATAGATTCTATGTAAATACAGTGCCATTTTATGTGGGAGACTTGAGCATCTATTGATTTTGAGATGGGAGGGTCCTGGAACCAGTCGCTCACAGATACTGAGGGACAACTGTTTTCAGACCAAATGACAGAAGTAAGCTCCACTGTGTCAACGATGTGTGCAGGGAGAGGAGATCAACCTTGGAGCCCCTTCCTGGGACCGATGGCTGACAGGGATGAATGTGACTGGGGGCTCCCTTGGCCTTTCTGTTGGTCCCATACAGTGGAATTCAGGGGGCACATAGGGATGCAAAACACAGATCCTGAGCCAATTACTTTAAGAGGTCTGAGGTGGTGGGTGAGGCAGGAGTGTAAGAACAGACACAGGCCACAATCTCAGGAATCACTACAATCACCTTGTCATTTGGGTCTTTGGTTTATTGAAAATGTTGTGATTGTGATGAGAGTTTTAGTTATGTTCCTACTGGAGGTTCCCACCAGAATTCAAATGTCTGCTTTCAATCTTTTTTGTTTGAAACTAGAACTGAGATTGAAGTGGAAGTCTTGCTTTCTCCCAACTTTAAAAAAAACAAACATATTCCTGACTTTAAAATCATACCTATTGTAATAACTTTCAGATTCTTATTAAAGCAATTATATGGCCTGAGGACAATTTGGGCTTAAAAATGTAACTCTAGAGGTAAAGAGAGTTACTATATATAGAAAGAACTTTAGCTTTATATTAGAGCTTGCTATTTCTATAATTTTCGAGGAAAAATGAGTCTTTTTTCCTTCAGTATGGAGTAAAATATAGGAGAAATCTTGCAGAAAATCTCTTTGAGACAATAGCCTCAAAGAGATAACAGTTGTTGGAAGATTCCCCGAAGCATGGATTAGCAGGCCAGGCTTGTATTGGGGAACACATGGGTCCGCTAAGGACACTATGTTGAATTTGCTGTCACTAGGATCATAGGTGAACATATCACTCTAAATTGATACTGGACTGTGCTTTATGACTGGCAATTGGAAAGCTAGATAGTTCTATGCTGTTTTCTTATTTTATCGCCAGAAACAGCAAAAGAGGAGATGCTCTCATTTACCTAGAATAATTTAGAATTAAGGTATCCAAAACAAAATCCTTCTGTATCTATGCATAACACCAGTGACAGATCTGGTGGGAAAGGGGAACCAGCACTCAGGTAGATGCAGTAGCTCAAAGAGCAGTTGGAGAGGAAGATTGAGTCTTGCTCTTTGTCTCGGGTGTGTGAGGCACTCAGTGGTGTTGGGATGAGATGCCTTTTACTGCTGCTCAACTGCAAGACACCTGATGTAGGACTAGTCAATTCTTGTAAATGCACTTCATGTTGGTTAAAATAAGGGCTGGTTTGATTTCCTGTAACCTCCAACCAGTTAAAGTATGTATTAAAGAGTAAACCAATTACCAGTTTCTAGGAAATACAGAGGACAGAGACCCATATTTAGCATTAATGTGGAAAGTCAACCCCCAAAATAGAGCTCAGAGAACCACCATAGGATAAAATGTTCCACTTTTTTAACAAATACACTGCAAGGAAGAAGAAAGAGTTGAGTGGTGAGCCTATAGATTAAAAATAAATTTGAGAAAAAGCAATCAATTGTATGGACTGACCCTATTTGACTTATGTTTTTAAAAAATCATGAAATTTTGCAATATGAACTCAAAGTTACCCTCATTGTAGCACTTCTGGGTTGGTTTTATGACCTTAAAAGAATGAACAATTGGGCCGGGGATTTAGCTCAGTGGTCCCACCACCTGCCTCACAAGCGCAAGGACCTGAGTACCCGAGTTCAATCCTTCGTACCAAAAAAAAAAAAAAAAAGAATGAACAATAAAGCCCTGTTGAACTGGTGCACATTCATTCTGCAGCTCCTAATATGCTGTTATTGTTATACATTAACATGTGAGGATCTGTGTCAAGCAGGCTAAATAAGCTATGGACATATGTGTATTGAAAGGAAGGGACTTTTTCAAAATATTTTACCAAACCTCAAATTCCTCTAATGGGGCTAGGCACTTCTTTCTTAAATCACAAAAAGCTTTTGGAATCCTACAATACAGTATCATCTCTAAAGTTTTTTTTAAACCAATAGTGCAAGAAAGATTTGCCCTTAAATATAAATGGAAAGGGAATCTGGGGATGGAGGGAGAGAGAAGGAAACACAAGAGAAAAGGAAGTAAAAAGGATTAAGATGTGATATGTACACATACCAATTCCTCACTTTGAAAGCATTCATTATGCATCATAAATATGTACCAAGAAAAATTAAAATGTTTAAATAAAAATGAAGAAAACAGAATTCTCTAGAATATTTTAGGCTGTTTCTTGATGGAGAAGACAGAAGAGAAGCCTACTTTGTATCTCCTTTGTGATTGTCTTGAGAAGGCTGCCAGAAGGCAGTGTGGTCTTTTGGAAGAATATGTAAAGGAGATTCAGTAAAAAGAATGAAGCTAGGTATGGTTTGTGGTATGAGTTAGTCTTTCTCAAATAACTAGGAATTGAAAAGGCTTGGGTGTGTCAAATGATACTGAATTGTACAGATGTCTCTAATTTCTTACTCCTAAGCCATCACTTAATAAAATTCATTGAGGAAAAAACCCTGGAAACAATATTATATTTGAGATAATATTTGCGTAGATACTTGCTGTAGAGCAATTAATGCTGAAGTTTTATGTCATAGTGGCATTGTGATTACACCAAAAGTTCTTAGTAATACATAATGAAATAAAGATGAAGTGGTCCAATTATTGGATCTGTTTCAAGACGATATGAGAACATTGAGTAGAGATATGGTGGAAATAAGACTGACACAACTTTATAATTATTGAAGCTTCATGGTGGATCCATGGAGGTTCATTACACCATTCTTATCTACTTTCGAATATATTTAAAATTTTTTATAGTGAAAAGAAAACAAAAAACAGCGGATAGTTATATAGTTAAGAAATAATCTTAACAGAAACTTTAAAAAATTGCTTTTTGACCAGTAATTATTTAAACTGTCCCAACCCATCACCAAGAGTCTTCAGTGTTAGTTGAAACAGGTTTCTAACCCAGCTAGAGTTGCAGTGTAGATACCACTGACAGCCATAATCAACCGAGTTTGTCCCAAACAGCACCTTTAATAATTTTTTCTAACGTATAGTAAAGAAAGCACAAAGACCAAGAAAAAACTCCGATTCTGGATTTTTTACCCTGATAATTTGTGGTAGGTTTCTTTATTTTTTGAATATAAAGTGACAGAAATAATTTGCCATTAGAAAAGAGAAAGAATCTTTGACTATTTACAGCTTTTATACATCACAAAGTTTTTCTTGTTTTTATGTTGTCTTTTTTTTTAATTCATTTTAATTTTTGTTCCTGCATCATTTGAACAAGTCCAAACTGGAAATCTATACATCTCACAAAAAAGCCCTCCACCCAAAAGACCCCCCACCCCCACCCAATCCCAATGAGAAACAAGATAAATCAAAAGAATGAAATCAACTTATTTCTTTTTTTAAAGGTAAGTCATTTGCTTATATATATACTTGTAAGTATTTTTTTTAAGTTCAAACACCAAAATCCAAGAGAGAAAGGAAAAAATTAAAAGACCCAGTCATCCACCCCTCCCCCCACTCCAGAATCTCAATTGATCCCTGCATGTCTAAAATAAGAAATATATATTTACATAAAACAAAAAACAAAACAAACAAAAAAAGAACTTAGAGGTGGATGGGCTGGAGATCTGAGTCAAGAGGAAGGCGAGCCAGCCCCGGGGAGGAGGGTGGGCTCGGGGCCTCACAGAGTCAAGGCAAGCCTGAGTCGTCTGCACTTTCCCTGGGCAGGGGGGCTCCATGGGGGGAAAGCTGTGACCATTTCCCCTCCACTATATGACTTTGGGAGGGTGTGGCTTAGCCAGTGCAACCCAACCCACTGTGGATGTGTTTTTTCTTTCCATCCTCACCCCCTCACTCACACACATGCATGCACACAGGCGCACACCCACCTGTGCACCAGCCATTGTGGCTAAGTGTTGTCATGAGGGAGCACTGGCTCCTGTCAAGTGGAGGAAAAGAGATTGCCCTGGGGACAAGATCTCCTTGACCCCTCCTGTCTCTTCTCTGATATCTATTGTCATATGCCAGCTAGCTCACTGACAAGTATCCATGAACATCAGGGCTACTTGGAAGTATGAATGCTGGAATGGTCATTGGGTAACATAGCTCTGATGAAGATTCCCTCTCCTCTATCAATTTTGCCTCTACTTCACACAAATTTTCTTAACTAACAGTTGTGCCTAATTAGCCCAGTGGGAGACAGCTTGAAGCAAGGTAAGTACCAGGTAGAGTAAATAGACACCATGTTGTTTTCTGCTCACTTTTGCAAAAGGTTGGGTTCCTGCAGGTCAGAAAGCAAAGGTGGGTCATGACAAAACCATCTCTGGCTTCCTTTGCTTCCCTCTGCCTTCCTAAATGGACTTCGCTTGGTCCTCGGTGCATAAAGCATATAAGCCCTTGAGTTGGTTGTAATACGCTTCCAACACAGGAGCTCAAGAGAAGGCATTAGATGTGCCTGAATGAACACCAGCTAATCTTTGGGGGAAAATGCCAGGCAGGACGTAACCACACTGCAGGGGGGTGGAGTTGGGCAGAGAACCACCAGCAGCCATGTTGTGATCTCTTTCGTGCTCTGTTCAAGATTCTATGGGGTTCAGGGGCCTAGTCCATGAGAAATGGCTGAACAGGTTTTGTCTCTTTGCAAATTACAATTTTTAAGAGCACACAAAATAAAGCAGAATCAGCTCATCATCTATGTCAGAAGTGTGTGAAGTGCTCCTGGGGGTGGACTCTAGTTTGCTCTCACTAAATCTCCAAATGCCTACACAGTGGACATTTTTTTCCTTACCTCCCTTGGCCAAATTTCTTATTTTTTTCCAGGAGTTTCCCCAAAGTCCTCGTTTGTTCCCTTTCATGTGGCTACACTCAAAATCCTTTCTTTCCTAAACCCTCTCCTGATCTTCCAAAATTCTCACCCTAAAGGTTTGAAGACTTTAATTTTCTATTGCTCCTGTCTCACTGTTCCTCTCTCACACAAAAGAAAATACTAAATAAAAATGACCAGTCAGAAGAACCTTTCATTTCACAGAATTGGGTAGAGGCTAAGCTGCTTTTCAGTCCTTTAGGTTTTTTCCAAAGATAAACAACGAGTAAGGTAAGTAAGAACAAAGAATTAAAATTCCTCCATAGAGACCAACTTAGGCAGAAACCTTTAAAATAGAAAAGGCAAGATTTACTGTGAAAATATGTTCTTTCCAGGATAAATAATCAAAACACAGTGCAGGACTACACTTAATAACATTTATAAACATTTGTGGTAGCTCACCTATCACAGATGGCAGTGGTGCTTCTGATGGAAAAGCAAACATCACATGGACGATGAGGCACGAGAGTTCCTCATGCTGCTGGTAGAGCCCTACCCCCAGTGCTTTGCAGCCTTCCCACCTCAGTCAGACAAAGTCCTTCAGAACCAGCCTGGACTAACCATGAGCCTTGCTTAGCACATGAGAAGCCCAGGTCAGTTGAATTTCTTATATCACTTAGACTTTCATTTTCAAGTGCCCAAATACATCCCCCATCTGAGCGTGTTTCCCATCCCTTACTGACTCCTCAAATCCTTTCCATGGTTTGCCATCAGTCACACACCCTGATTTTCTTCCACCCTCCTGACCCCTCCCTGGGGTCCCTGAAGCCATCTTGAGTATTAGGCATCTGCCCTCACACATTTTTCACAGCATTAGGCCTGCAGATGGAATGGGTCCCTTCCTTGTTCATCACTGTCACTTCCAGACTGTCTTCCCATCCTCTTCCTTAAAAACCACACATGAACAATAAAATCCACCTGGAAACACATCAGATGATATTAGCTGTTCTTCCTTACTTAATGCAAGAGTTAAAATATTCTTGAATTTCTCTCCCTAAGTCCTGTCGTAATATACACCCATATCATGCACAAGTCAGCATTTTTGTTGACTGCAATATCTATGTAAACAATCCTTCCCATATCTTGGCCTCTCAGTTCCTTGAACTCTGCTCCTTCCATAACTTTTTCCTCCCTTACTCAGCCCACCACCACCACAAGAGACCCCAAAGCACTTCTCTCTTAGTAACCTCAACTCCTCCACCATCCTAACTCCATGCAACCGGCCTCAGACTCAGCTCCTAATTTCTAGATTACTCTTTCTGGGACTCTGACTCAATAATTTGGTAACCTCTGCCTTTATTGCAGTCTCTGGCCCCCAGCCTTCTTCAATATTTCACATTTTAAAAAACTCCTCACTTTCCTCCTCATCCTGCTTAGACTCCGTGGCTAATCATGATCATTGTTACATCGCACTTGCTCTTAACTCCCTATCTCCAACTGCTTTCACTGCATTCACTTGTTTAAACCCAAACCTGAAACCTAACTTGCTGTCTAAGCAGAATTTGATGGAAGAATACTTCTTAAATTTCTTAAAACTCAAGGCTACGAACCTCAAGCATGCTTCCTACATTTTTTCATAACTCCATTCTTCCTGCTAGATGGTAATATGCCTAATTCATTGCTGTTTCTCTTCTTAAAGCTCCAGGACTTACCCTAATACTCATTCTTAGCTCACGAATTCCATTAGTTCACCACTGAAAATGTCATCAATCAGAAAAGCATACTTCCACATTTATCAACCTACTTGCCCAATTACAGCATCTCTCATCTATTACTGAAAAACACCTAGTTGGGCTTCTAAAGCCAGTCTCTTCATTTGTGCATTGGATCCAACCCCATTTGACCTCATCAAAGACATTACTCCAGCAATTGTTCCCTCTCTCTAAAAATTATCTTCCATCTCTACTGTATCGTGCTGGACAGCATAAAATGGGCTATTTATCCCATTTTAAAAATATTTCTTGAACCCTGCGTAATCCTCCATTGCTATCTCTGTGTCCTCTTTACAACAGAGATCCTAAAAAGAATTGTCTATTCATGTTGGCACCACTTCCTCTCCTGAAACTCTCCTTTGAACCATCCTTGTTATGTTTTTTACCCACAGTCCCCTACACACTGTCTTCCAGGTCACCAGTGGAATGAGATCCATGTTTCCTGGGGGTGCTATTCACTCACTGTTGCCAGTTGATTCATCTCTGGGGCTCTGACTGTTCCCAGGGTTCAATATGGGAATTCTCTTCCACCTGCATTAATTTCTTAGATCCAGTCTCATGGCTTCAAACACCATCTTTATACACTTGTACCCCAGCACCTAGAGCAAACTGGCATGGAGCTTTCATTCAATTCATATCCTTGCATGGATTAAGTCATCTTTCCAAACAGGCTCTGAAACCACAGGCCTAATCCCTCCAAAGTAAGGGTAAGAGTAACACTAAACAAAAAAGCAAAACAGCAAAATTCAAAAACTAAACAAAACCCAAGCAACCAAAATCCCCCAAAGCAAAGAAACAACCTGGTTGAGTTCTTTAACCAAATTTCTAAATGGCAAGGACAGAGCTCACTTGCCACGCTCCTTTTCTTATGTGAACATTGTCTTTGAGTTTATTATCATTTTTTTAAATGTTTAAGACTCTCCTTAAGCAGTTGGTACCTGTCCCTTTTCTCCTTTGTTGCTTTCCTCCCAAATCCCTTATGGCTACAGTGGAATTGGACTCAATATCTGAACTGGTTAGTTAATGTTTTAGTCTTCCTAATTTGCTAAGAACATACCATCTACCACCCATTAACGGTATTTCATAGCTTAAAAGATCATGTCTGAGCCAGTAAAGTCCATGTTGATATGTGTAAGGCTTTGGATTAAATCAATCTGTAAATGTTTATTTGTAATCAAACCTACCAATTTCCTTTCCTGAAGTAAACAGTAATCAGATTAGAAACCCAGTGTTTTCACTGGAGATGGGAAGATATAATTTTATTTAAAGGATTTTCTCTCTCAGAGGTGACCTAACTTTGTAATCCGAAATCATTTCAAATTTGTACCCAAAAAAAGGTTTCAACTAATGCAACTCTATTTCCTGATATGCTGTATTCTGTTCTCTCAGTGCCCTTTGGCTTCTCCAATTAAGTAAATGTAATCACAGTGAGTATGCGGCTCTTCTATCTGAATATTTTTTGACTGGAGAATGGAAATCATTTAAGAGAAGCTGCCCTAAAGGTTTAGTGGATGGGTTTTTTGAAGAGTCAAGCTGCATTACTTATCAGTCTTCCTGGAAGAAAGCCTATGCCTCTCTCTAAAGTTAGTCTGTCATCATTTTGGAGCAGTCAATGGCAGCACAGTTTCTCCTGCCAGACCCTATAGGTAGGGACAAACTTTCTAGGGGTAACTCAGAGCACCTGGATGTGAGCATTATTGTTTCTTTACCTCCAACCCCTCCTTGTTTGTTTCTAGGTATTTCTCACCTCAGTGAAGAAAGAGCATATTTTAGAATAAAGCTTTATGCCTGCTTGTCACTGAATCTATTTCCCATTCTAATTTCTCTTTCTCATTCGAGAAGGTACATTCCATTAATGGTTAAAAAAGTAACACGAAATGACTCATGGCCTGAGATGTTTAGAAACACTTGCTTCTTATGACCCTAGGACCAAGGAGAGTCAAGGATAGTGTTCAGTCACCACTATACTCCAAGTAAAACCTGTGCATCTTGAAAACCCAGAGAGAGAGAGAGAGAGAGAGAGAGAGAGAGAGAGAAGGAGGGAGAGAGAGAGAGCAGAAATGCTTCCACAGGCACAACAGACATCTTGACCAAAGCTGTTGTGCACACTCTCACAGATGTTGCTTAATATTCCAGAGCACACCTTTCTCCTTGAGCAGAACCATGCGCTCTCATTGGAGGACACTTACTATCTCAGCACTTGACCTTGAGTTGGAGCATCTGGGAACAAGGTCCTGTTTGTTTACTTATTAGTTTTTCCTTCTCCAGCCATCTTTCCCAGTTAAAAAAAAGTAAGGAAAAAACCATGAGAAATTATCATGATCCTTTTTTTTAACAATATAATAGTTTAGATAAAAATTCAGTTTAAGGAATATACTCACCCATAATAGGCGGAGAAGGTGGGGACAGGAAGCAAAGCTAAGAAGGGGAACCAGGAAAACTGCCAAGAGCCTGGGAGGTGAGGAAGAATTTCCATGAAAGAAATGTGGAAAGCTCTTCTCAACTATTAGACCCAGTTTGGAATGGCTAAACACATAGGTATTTTGGACACTTTCCTGCTTAGATAGCCTTCTGTCCTGTACCAACCACTGAAATTCATCTTGCAATCGTGGCTTCCAGGAGAGGAAAATGCCTCAAAGAACAGGTGGTCTCCGAACAGAGAGTACAATTCCCAAAGACTATCGGGATGAAATGGAACATGCTGACTGTACTCATTCTTCATGAATTTGCATTCCAGAGTTTGCCACTAGGATGTTTGGTGATAATCAGGTAGATTTCTTCACCATGTAGTAATGGAAAAGAAAGAAAAAAGGAAAGCAGAGAACAATTGTAACTGGCCCAGAAGATAGGAATTTTGTTCTTGGTCTAATTCATCTCCCTGGAGATAGAAGCAGCTCTAGCATATTGGTGAGCAGAAGATATTGAAGAGAACAGTGATGTTAGGCTTATTTCATTGAAAGAAAGTCAAAGCTCAATTGAGCTGGTAAAGATCATAAACCCATCAACTTTCTTGATCAGGTTACAAGCTACTGGGCATTTAAGTTTCCCCAGGAGACTTCTCATCAGAGACACATTGTTGAAACTCTGGGATAAGAGTTCCTTGTTCATTTTGTAAACTCCATCCAGATATCTGGCTTCATCCAATAGGCTTTATACAAACAGGGTTATACATATTATTCTTTCATTTAAGCTACAGAAGGAAAGAGGGGTGTGAGCTGCCCAGGTACTAATGACCAAAGGGAAGAAAGAAAACCATAATAATATCAGGGGAATTACATTCTTCCCACAAAGTCAGTGGGGAGTTTAAGCTGATGTGGTTGCAACTGCTTCAGAGAGAGCCCTAGTCTTTAAAATTGATGTTTTTTTCTGCTTTTCCATAGCACCCAGACCCATTAATATCTACTTAAAATAGGAGATACTGGTATGGATTTTCTTTATAAAACTTCTTCCATAATGCTTCCCTGAGCTGTACTCTTGGCAGGTAGGGTTAGAGGTTATCTTTTTCATTTCTACTTTAAAATCTAATACTAAGCACAAGAGCTTTGTGGTTTCAATTAAACAATTCTCTGTTCATTCTCTTAGGAGCTATACAAATTGTTTGTTTTTGCAGTACTGGGGATTGAACCCAGGGCCTTCACTCTCAGACACATCTCCAGCTCTTTATTTTTATTTCTTTTATTTTTTGAGACAGGTTCTCACCAAGTTGCTAAGTTTACCAGGCTGGGCAAGACCTTGTGATCTTCCTGTCTCAGCCTCCCAGAGCGGTGATTTCACAGGCTTGTGCCACCATGCCTGGCTTCCCTATGAATCTTATTTCCTTGCACTGCACATGAATATAGCTGTAACACAAGAAACACATGGGTCATCTCCAGGGAATAAGACGTTCCATACATTCATCAGCAGGTGGCCTTGTTACTTGTCATTAAGAAGCTTCACGATTCAGTTATCTGTAATGGTATTCATAAGAAAGATGTAGTCACCATGGTGTCAAAGTAGAATAATACGTCCCTCTTTTTGTTTTGTTTTTTTTGGTACCGGGGATCGAACTCGGGACCTTGCACTTGCAAAGCAGGCACCAGAACCACTGAGCTAAATCCCAGCTCCTCTATTATGATAGTGGAGGCAAAGGGGCAGGAGAGAAATGATATTTGCAGTTGGCTTGACTCTCAACTTTGAGCTTGAGGAAGATTCGGGTGCCTATCCCCTCTTCCCCCATGCATGGGGCTCAGTCACCTCCTCCCTCTGCCCATGTCCTCTCCTGAAATCAGGGCCTGGGTCAGGGCCTGGGAACTCCTGCACTGTAAAAGTGACGGGATAAAAGGGATTTTCCACCTTCTCACTTCTTCCCTTGCCTTTCATCTAGGTCCAAAATGGCGACAAAGTGACCAAAAAACAAAACAAAGAAACAGAAAACCCAAACCAACATTAAGCTAAGATCCTCTTTTCATTGTTCTTGATATAAGCAGAATCCTCTGTGAATGGACCAAAATTTGTTCTGTGGCACGAACGAAAGATACTCCCTTTTTGGAAAGATGGAATGTTTCCTGTTAGCCATACATGAGTGCAGGGTGGATTGGATAAACCCTCAGGTGGTAGCTGCAGGATTTCCTGGTCTACAATGATTAAAGAATTTACCATTACAATTTTGGGGCAAAATTAAGGTATTACAAGTATTCTCAGCAGATCTTTGGAATGTTCGTGTTTCCTTCACGATTTAGGTGGCAAATAATTATTTATTATGGGTCTGGGGGGTATAGGTCCTTCCTTTGGAAGTTCATTGTGTATCTGAACTTCCTGTTATTTCTGCTTATGTTTCCAGAATCTATTCATACTTTAACATTGGAAGCAAGCTTGCTCTATTTCAACTTGACTAAATGACATGGAGGTATGTAGAAGAATCTAAGAAGTTCTCCCTTGAGGTAGCCTGGCTCGCCATGGGCTGATCCAAACTGACACTGCCAGTGTCCTAACTGCCCTGAACACATCCCTGGAGTTTCTGGCCCCAAGTAACATCCTGCAAAAAAGACCCTCTGTCTCAGATTTTTCTTGAGCTTTTTATTTGTGTGGTTTACATGCTACATAAAAAATTTTAATGATAAAAAATTATTCACAATGTCTTACTCCACAAAATGCAAATGATTTTATTTAAACTGCCACTTTTCTTCATTACAGAAAACTTTCCTTTCTGGTTTCAAATTTTTTGCTTTCTTATTGCCCTTTTTGACTGGTCTCTTGATTCATATGGTGTGTGCGTGTGTGTGTGTGCATGTGTGTATGTAGGGGGAAGGAAATCCATGAAAAAAATATTTAAAAGATTTGGCTAAATAAGCTGCCTGGGTTTCATAAATTTTTCCATGTTGAAAACTTAGGTTGGTACACAATTCCGGCAACATTACTTCTTGTTTTGGACTGAGAGTTAAAATTTCCAACAAGTTATGATTCTGGCAAGAATTTTCAATATAACTTTTTTTACTTATCTAATTTTTCTGACCTGAAACCTTTTCATGTATAAAATTAAAAACCATCATATTTCCATGTCAAAGGAGGCCATTTGGAAAAATGATGATGGTCAATTCTCCCATATCTACGTACCAGCTAGAGTGGTACCTTGGTTCATGAACTTAATTCTTTCCATAATTCTGGTCACAGAATTCATTCAAGGATTAATTTGGTTGCAACCAGAATCATGGAACAAATTCTGCAACCAGAATCATGGAGAGAATTAAGTTCGTGAACTGAGGTACCACTGTATTTTAATTTACTCAGAATATGCCACAGGCTAGTGATGGCAGTGGCCTCAGGAGGCTGCTGGTGATCTTAGAAACTCCCTCCTTCTCCAAGGAGGGCAGGCTGAGCCAGGCTAGAAAATGTCACAGCTTTGTAACATGAGAATGAGGTTAAGAATTCTTAAGAAATGGCCCTTCACTGTTGTTTGTGATCCATGTCTTTTGCTTGCTCTTAGGAAGTAACCGAAGTAAATGCTCTGACCATTGAAAGTGCCCAGAAGCCTCAGGAATAATCTTGTAATAAAATAACTCTCTTTTCTATGGCCCAAGGTGTCCAGCTATGTATAGCAGGCTCCATCTTGGTTGTTAAAATACACTAGAATTGATTGACTGGGCTCTGATTTGGAAACATTAAATACTGTGTGCACATTTAAACTCTGTGGTTTCTCAATTTCTCATCCTAATATTGAGTGTGTGTGTGTGTGTGTGTGTGTGTGTGTGTGTGTTACTTGGAGCTAACTGGATACAAAAATACCCCGAGATCTATACACTGAGAAAGAGAAGAGAATGCAAGAAATGAAAAGGTAATGATGGAAAACACAGCTATAAGTGCCCTGGTGGACTTCCAATTGTATTCATAATCAAAAAAGAAGTATTTTTAACTATTTTATATTTTTCTCAAGAAAAGTTCTGTTTGCCTCTTTACCCTCCCCCTTTCCTTCCTACATGAAGTCTTGCCACTTTCCCTCTTCTTGACCCTGAGAGAAGTAGAATGCACAAATTACCAATCTCACAAGACACTCATCCCCATTCCTGTCACGACCAAGAACAGACCTCTCTACTTCGCTCATGTTGCTTCAAAGAGCAGATATGGATACACGTGTTATGAAAGTATCTAAGCAACAGGACTGTCTGTTCTCAGAGAGACTGGCTTCTGCCTCTCCACCATCTTAGCACTGATCCGCTAATGGGACATCAAAAGACTGCATGGATTCCAAGGGTAAGATAAGACAGTTGGCACGGTAACCAGGTCATTCCAATACAAAGAATGTGCTCCCTTCAGGTAAAGCCTGCATATTTCTGTCAGACCTTGAGATGTCAGCGATCCACAGCTAGGTAGAGGAGGAGAGAAAATACCAGATAAATTATAATATGCCTGCCCATAAAGTACTCATTAAATATTTTTATTACTCATAAAGTGATATTAGCAATTGGGATGTAGTTAGGATTGTGTGTGTGTGTGTGTGTGTGTGTGTGTGTGTGTGTGATGAGAAGGTATGAAAACCTTAGAATGTTCATGGCGAAGGGACCATCTAATTAGGTGCAGTTGGGCTGTATTGGTGAATAGATGGAAGCAATTAATAAGTTGCTGAGAGCGTACCTCAGCCAGAGGCAACAGGGAGGCCTCATCACTCATCTGCAGGTGTCTCTTGTGTCACCTGGAAGGGGAACACTACAATAGCCATGATTTCAAAAGAAATGATCAATGATAATCCGAATGTAACAATGGCAGTTAACTACATAGATCACTCTGAATAGGACTGAGGTTTCAGGCAGGCATTATTATTATTTTTTAGAAAAAACATTCCTTTTGGAAACAGGTAATATCCTTATCTAAGAAAGGCAAGCATCTCGGTACATTCCTATTCCTGTGGTCACATCCTCCAAAGCCCCACTCCCATCAGAGCTCATGAACTTCAATTCTCTTCCTGCAAAAGGATGTGTAGGTAGAGTTATGACTGGTAGCTCAGACTCTGTAGGGACGAGAGGTGGAGTGTGTCCCTCCCTCTCTTCCCAAGGTAAGGATCAAGGGCTCTTTGTGCTGTCACCAAAGAGCCTGGATACGGACTCAGAGAAAAGCTGTGGCCAGATGCCTTGCAAACAGCAGAGACCTCACAGATTCGGTTGGAGTCACACCCTTACTTTCACAAGGTGGGCACAGTTCTTTCTGGACACTGTCCTGGGAAGCTGTTATTTTCCCTGCAACTTTTAGGATTGGATCAAGCAAGCTACACTCCACAAGTGGGAGTGAAGGTGGCTCTCAGAAAGTGCTTTTGGCGCCTTGGAAGTGACTGCAGGAATGGATATCTGGATGCCATCAGCTGTGGGCCTTGCTCTTTGGGAGTTTTCTACTTTCTGAAGCTGTCACCTAAGCCAGTAACCAATGAGCTCTCAGCTTTATTTGGACATGAGAAGAGGCTTCATTGCATACTTCCTGTTTTTCCCTTCCTCCTATGTTCCCTTATCTATTACAGGTACTCACAGGCAAAAACCAGACATAAATACTTCATGGATAAAACTGCATGAGATTTTGGTCCAACAGAGATTCATGAATGTCTTTATTTGGAGAATAGCTGCTTAGCACCCTCCTGCTAGCTGTTACCAGACTATTTGTTTCATTGTTTTTTTTTTAAAAAGCCTCATAATCCAGTATGATGAAATATATTTTGCTCTAAAATGTTAACTATCCTCATTCTCAGGATTGGGACTATTAGACATAATTGGACTTTTGAAAAAAAAATATCCATCTAGACTTACATTTTAAATTTTATTAGGTATCTCCCAAGTTGTCACAAGTTTTGCCCTAGCTTGCCAATAATAATTTCTCTACCCCCATCCCATCTCAATGAAGAATGGGCTTCGTTTGCTTTTTTGAAAAAGAGACTTGTCACCGCCTGTAACTTATTTCAGTTCAGTTTTCTATAGTATGCTTTAAATTAGCACACAGTGACAGAAGATGCTTCGCAAAGGAGAATAATTCATGGCCAATGACATAATGAGATTTATAGAGAAGGCTGGCCAGGAGAAGGAAAAAAAACATGATAAGTTACCAGAGCAGCTTAAGTGAAAGGACAGTACCAGCTCTGTGAGTTTCTTCAGAGAGGTGAACAGAAGCTGATACTAACTAGAACAAATAGATCAGACCCACTATGTAGAACCCAAAGACCAGGGGAATGGTGAGCAGGGCTCAGAGACTGAAAGAACAGGAGGGCTATAAGATCAGCAGTGATGTTCTCTCACTCACGGTAATGGATTCCTTCATATTTCCAAAGCAAGAGTTTAGAGACTAGAATTCTCTCTCAACCAGCTCCTTTAAATCCCAACTTATTTTCATTTGAACTGTGCAGATCAGAGGTAATGTTCCATTACCTCAGGTCTCATCTTCTCTTTGGGAGAAGGACGCCTGTAAATTAAAGGGAGAGTAAGAATCCAGAGTCCAGGAAAGAAATAGAGTATTATCAAGACAAGGTCATGAGCAATACAAACAGCTCCCGAAGCCTGACCTGACACAGTTACTACACATATGGGAAGTGCCCGTGTGCTTGGTCATAAATACATTGGTCCTGTTAGACCACCATTTGGGAGCCAGAAGGCTGTGTGATTAGTGAGCCTGAATTGTGACAAGGTTTTTAAACACAAAGATCAATCCAAGTATAGGTCAGCTTGTTAGACTCAGTCACAGCAGTGAAGTGCCTGGGTACAAGCTCCACTCAAGGCATCTAAATAGCTCCTGATGCCTAGCATTTGATTTGATCAATATGCTTCAGGGTCTCTCTCTCTCTCTCTCTCTCTCTCTCTCTCTCTCTCTGTCACTCACTTTGTCTCTGTATGTAGATTTCTCCAAATACACTCTACTGACCACAAAACAGCCACAGAATGATTTCCAAGGACAAAGTTCAATTTAGAGCAATCTAAATTCCCATTGGAAATAATAATCAGCATGGAAATGTATGCATGCAGTGCACTGCTGTGATTTTGTGTAAAGAAAGAGAGATACAAGGGAGTGCTCATCCTTAAGTTTTACTTCAGATTCAAGTATCCAGTGGGCAAAATAGAGTGACTCCTTTTCAATTATAATCTATGATAATATCAAATATTTAGTGGTGACTTTCATATACAAGGCACTCAGGTGTTACAAGAGATAAAAAGATGAATAAATATATTTCCCATTTAGGTTCTATCAGGGAAGATGAATATGTAACTAAATAACTATAAAATAAGATGGTCAGTATTATGAGCATTCAAAAAATGCCTATTTTTTAATTTATAGAGCATGAAGGAAAATAGATGTGGTGGTTACTTGTTCTGGTCTTTGGAGATTTATATAGATGGAATGGATATTATGCAAGAAGGGAATGAGATGGAAGATGAGGACAGCAGCGTTTTGGGCAAAGGGAATAATTTAAAGAAAGACACAAGTAAGAAAACCAGATGCTATAGGAAAATGAAAGCATAAACACATGACTTTTCTTGCCTGGAATGAAGCACACACAGGGCAAATTACAAGAAGTAATGGTTCTGGGGAGAATGTGGCAAGTGAAGCCCACTGAAGATTATTTTTTTGAGTTGAAGGATGACATGATCTAATTCGTATTTGGGAAATGAAAACTAGAAAGAATAGATTCAGATATAAATTCTTGGAAGACTGCTATAAGACATTGCAATAATGCAGACCAGAGGGAAGAGGCTGAATGAAAAGGGGAGATGAAAAACTTTAGGGATAAGAATTAACAGACTTTTCCAAATAATTAGATGTGCAGAAGGAGAGAAATGGAGGAGGCACAGGGGTCTGGTCAAGCTTTAGTTTGGTGACAGAAGGAAGGGTGGTCCCATTAACCAAAAGGGGAACTTGATTGTGTTGGCTTGCAGGGATAGTTTTGGGTATTTGAGTCAATATGAAGTGAGGTGATTGGAAATGTGCGCACTAAACTGAACTGCACATAGTGACTAGGAATAAAGATTTAAAATTAATTTTCATTCTGAATTAATCAAGTTGTGCAAGACAGGGAGCTTGTTTGCAGATAAGGTAGAGAGGATCAAGGTCACCATAGCAAGTGACTGCTAAGGAAAAGCAGGGTGCAGTGAGGTCAGAGAGGATGAGAGAGCTAAGATGACTAGAATGCACTGTCTTGACACGATTGGCCTAGGGTCATGTCACTGAGGATAAAGACCAGGGAAAATAAAAAACAAGCTATTGGACTTGGTAACAAGAAGCTCATTGGAATGTTGCCAAACAATAGGTTGCAGCCCCATTATAAAATCCAGGAGAACTAGGTGATGAAGACAGAAAGGAACGTCTGTCTGAGAAGTTTGGAAGTGCAGAGAAAATAGATATAGGACAGAAATTCATGAGTCTAATTGAGTCAAGAGATTTGTCCTTACAGATAATTGTAGGATTTGGTTTCTGAGATAGTTGCAAGCAGGTGTGTGCAAGGCATTAAAGACACAGCATAGAGAGGTACTATTGGCTGGATGGAGTGCACTTCAGAGAAGTCAGGGGGTGGATTTAGAACACAGGGAAGGGAAACTGGGACAGATAGAAGGACAAGAGACACTGAAAGGCAGAGAAGAGAGGTGATGTGACCATTCAAAATGGGATGCTTCCTCTTGGTAATACAGTAAGAAATATTGCCCATTGAAAGAAAGAAAAGGAAAATAAACCAAGTCTAACAAACAGAGAATGTGACACAGTCAACGTAGCAGAAATAAAACAGATGTCCAAGGTGGGTGGGGTGCAGGTGAGACTACATGAATTGAATTTGTGCTCTCCCACAAAAGTTGAAGACCTATTCTTGGAGATGTGGTGGATGATGGGGGTGAGGATATAGCATTAAATAGCAAAAGAGAGCAGTGAGAGAACAGGAGGAAGAAGAGAAAGCTGGGAAGAGCACAGATGCCATGGGGGACACAAGGCCACTTGTGTCTTCCTGTGGCCAAAGAGGGAGGTCAATGAAGCCAGATGGGTTTATGGATTGACCATAGAGGAGCTTGAAAGAAGGTAGATAAGATGTCAAAAGTCCAAGCCCTTGATCAGGAGGGAATTTCAGAGTTTTAGCTTTGGGAGTTGTAACAGTTCCGAAGAAGAGGTCTAGATTTGGCTGTGATGTAGAGAGTTGAACCTCTGTAGTGTTTTTTAAAAATAACATAATAAATATCTTTGATTCATACCCCCAAACCAGCAAATATTAAACGTGCATGTGTAATCTTTAGTCCACAGACAAATATTATATACATTGAAATATTTTATGCTTATGTATTCATATATTCTATATGAGTATAATATACTCTATTTAAAACCTTTTACATCCATCCCAGTACTAGCCCAGTGACATAGTATATACTTAGTAGACACTGATTTAATTGAACTAACATATTTCAATAGAGCTTTTTGCTTTTTTTCCCCTGCATAGTACTGGATTCTGCTCCATCTCCTAAATCACAACATTAAAATAATTACAGATAAAAAGAGTTCAAGTTTAAAGCATGGAAAATAAATATTTAGGGTGACAGTTTATAATGGGCCTAGTGTTGTGCTTTTTAATCGTACCCTTAATTCTTGCACTGAGTTCCATTCACCTTTCCCAAAACAGATGCTACACACTAGAGTCCTGCGACTACAAGGAATTCTACTCAGTCCACTTTCCACCTCCAGTTCTCATCAGGAGGCCTTTCCCTCATAATCACACCAGCAATGATTATATTTTAAAGCACAGAGCAGTGCCGGGCCTCCCTGTGACCGGCTCTGACATGGATACACAAGGACACAGTGGCAGAGAGATGTGGAAGATTACTTTTCCCACTTTCCCCCAGTTACTTCTATGTTAACACTCTCTGAGCAAAATTCCTTTTCCTTGCTTCAGTATTGTAAACTCGAGGCCCCAAATGTCACCAATCTCTCCAAGGCACAGAAATAACATTGACTTTCATTTAAGGAATTATTTTTGGCAGGGGGCTTTGTCAGGGGTGTAGACAGTGACATACCATAAGTCACAGAATTCACAGGGGCCCTGTGTGATCGAACTGATGAGGCTGAAATGGGGTGAGGATGGGACATATTCAGATATCCTGTGATTCTATATAATATGGAAACCCCAAGCTAGAATGGAATCCTAGATTTAGATCAATATTAGAAATTCTCAGACTGACTTGTTTGTATTTTAATGTGGCCCCAAACATCTGGTAGACCTAAAAATGTGTCCCACAGGTTAAGTAGCACCTGGCAGTCAAAAGGCTCCTTAATGGTGTGTATGGGCTGGGGTAACTGGGCAACTAGTTTAGAGGTGGGGAAATACAGAATAGAGAACAACTAGGTTAACTCAAAGATTAACTGAACCAGGGCAGAGAATAGATAGCATAATTAACTTTTGTTATTCTATGCAGTTTGATCTTCTAGCTGCCTCCTTAGTGTCCTGTAATGAAGGAGAAGCAACGTAAAGTCACAGTCCTTAACCTGTCCTATAAGGTGTTGAATTTAGAATCTATAAACTACACTCTATGTGACTGTGTATTGAAAATAATTCCTAAGTAGAAGTCCTATTCCACTGTCACTGGAACCCTAAACAGAAGCGGGTGGAGAAGAAGTGTGATTTACATGTCTTCACCTCTGGAACCTGAATTCTTGCTCCCTGCTCTGTTACTCTGTGTTCCGTTTTCTCCTTCTTGCATCACAGCCTATTCCCAGGGAAAGGAATGAGAATCCTAATGTAGATTAGGTGTTTAAATGTATAAATCCCTAATATGGCTTAATATGTCACTTTTCCTGGGATTGCTTTCATTTCAATGACAGATGACAAGCTCAGTGCTAAAGCAACAAGTCTGTGTGGGAAGCCACTGTTTGAAAGCCTTTGTAGGACCCTGATATCACATCATGGAGTACATACCATGTAAGGCCAGAAGTGCTCCACGATGACTGTTCATCTTAGACTGGAAGAACAAACTCTGATACTCGAGTGATAAAAGCAAAGCCTCGAACATAGTTGTTAGCAGCCCACCGAACGCACATTTCCTATATGGCTTTGGGCTCAGAGAGCACATAAGGTATGGTCACAATACTGGAAATGCCTACTGCATTCATCAATAGCACTACAGTTACATCATTTATGCACACATATGAGTCATTCCTAACATACCAAAACAACACACACAGTGTGCCAAGCAATGACAGGCCCTTTTTAGAAAGACAATGATTAAAAAAAATAAAGTGAGTTCAGGAATAGCTTTTCCCAAAACTATTACCCAAACAATCTGGTATTTTTACCTTATATCTTATATTTCTTTAAAAAACAAACAAAAACTAAAAGCAAAGAAACCCTATTTCTTAAGTGAGAGGTGCAGGTGACCAGCACTCTGCAGAGAATTCCCCCTTGGGCAGCTCCTGATGGCCATGAAGGACTGGGTGGGTGACATTCACTTAGCTGTATAGACAACTCCTATTGGATAACATTACACATGTGTTTTAGCACTACTGACATCTCCAACATTTAATGGAATCATTTGAGATCCCTCCCCCAAATCACAACATGGCTATGGCTAGGACAGGGGAATACATTGTAAGGATGCTTCCCAAGATCTGGCTGAGGACACACAGTGACAACTCTTGAAATGACAAAGTCCACTGTACACCAGTCACTTTGAAGGGTATGCACATTCTTGATTCAGGCAAATTCAAGAGTTGGATTACTGAGGTCCATGGAAATGCTGAGAGTTCAGCATTGCTTTGAAAGGAGAGATGCAGGACCACACCCACCAACCCACTTCTGCAATGGAGGGGTAGGATAAAGAGCACACAAGAGAAATCATGGATTCTGAAGAATATTGGAACATCAGGTGCTCCTGAGGGCATCTACAGAATCTCACAGTTTTCGATGGATTAGGTTTTGGTCCATTTGCATCTGTGATATACATGGGGCTTACTGCTGAATTCTTCCTCATGCATTTTACTGGCTTGTTACTTTAGAGTTAAGTAATTTATACACTGTGACAATGCCCAGCTTTCCTTTCCTTAAACTTTCTTGAGAAGGCCATGAATGTCTTACTTGGTCTCAATTCAAACATCCAGTTGAAGGAAAGTGATCAATTGGGTCAGATAGTGGGTTCAGAAAAATCAAATTATCCAGCTGACAGCGTCTCATGATAGGAGGATAGGAACAAATGAAATATGCTAGGCATGTGGATTTGGAAATTTCATCCCATGGTAAAGAGAGGGAGGGAGAGTCTGCCGCCCTCCACAAAGCCAACAGTCCAGTGAAGGAAATTCTGTCTGGTTTACCCAAGATCAGGTTATGAACACCTGACTTGAAGCAAATAGCACCTTCCTGATGGCAGTAATGAGAACAAGGCAAAGATAAAGTCACCATCATCACCACCCCTCACATTCTCACCCTCCTACCTCTAAAATTAACTTCAGCAATGTTTCTAAGGAAATCACCTAGTCAATGAGTTTTGAGCCAATCTGGGAAGCTCTTCTAGAAAAGTGTGCGAATTCGAAAGATCCATATCCGCACCATCTCTTTGTAACCAGACACTACATGCTTCAAAAAGCTGAGTTAGAGGACATTTTTGGGGTGGACTTGCAGTGCTGATTTTTATGGGTGGGACTGGGAGATTATGAAGAAAAGGGTCAGAGTGGTGAAATGGTCACTGAATATCAGAGATTCCTCAGCAATGAGCTTTCTGAGCAGCCACAACAAAGAGGGGAACTTAGTTTTACCTCAGTTCTGTTTTAAGCCCGTTTAGGAACCTTTGCTACCTTAGGTACTGACAGGGAAAATCTGGTGTCAACACCTTGTCTTCTATAGAGTGCTGGTCCCCTATGGTCTACCTAGAAGATAGGAGTCAGACCGCGGTTCGCTTAGAGCCAAACTGAGCCTGAGGTCCCCAGGCCCCAGTGGATGAACATTTTTCAGACACCAGTAAAAAGAACAGCTTTAGAGGAGGGGAAGGGCATTGACACAATTTACTTTCCCCTGGCTTTCTCACCATAGTAACTTGCGTTCACATTCACTTTCTCCAGACACCCTGAAGCAAAGGCCATACAAAACAATTCCCCCAATGGAAAATGGAAAACCATAACAAAACACTTTTCCCCCTTCATTCCCATCCCCACCCCACTCCCTCCAGCCCAACACCCTGAATACTCACAAGAGAACACCTTATCTATACAAAATTAATTAGAAAACAAAATATTTACATATGAAATAAACACCATCTTGATTTCAGTCGCCAGTGGAGACCAACAGAGCCCCCTGTGTTCTAGATTGCTGTTCGCTAGGTTAGTTGGTTTGGTTTTTTATTTTTAAGGGGTGAGGTAAGAGGAAGAGTGAGGGGATGAACTCCTGGCTCTTGGGCAGAGCCAGGGTGAAGCAATGTTTCTATGGCCCTTCTCCTTCTTCCTCCTGGAGACGCCTCACACCCTCTGTCCTCTCTCTCAAAGTCTTTCCTTGAATCTAAGGTAAAGCACTCCGTGCTCCTCTCTCCAAACCCGTGAGAGGTTCAGCCCCTTGCCCCCACGTTTGTTTTAGAAAGAAAACAGAGCTTTACAAGGCCTTCAGTTGGCTTTAAAATGAAAGATACTGAGGTAAACTCAAGGAGGTGGGCAGGGAATGAGGAAGGGTCTCGAGGCATGGCGGACAGGAAGGCAAAGAGCAGCCTTGGAGGGTGGACGTGAAGAGACATGGTGGCTTTCTTCCAGAGGAGGATGAGCACCTTTCTGGTCTATGTGTCCTGTGTACAACAAGGCAGGTCCTGTAGTCAAGCTTCCAGACAGACCCGGGGCTCTTTGGACGCCACCCTGAGTGAGGGGAGGATGGCAGGACAGTGGGACAGACCCATAGAACAACCCTACCCCAAGTTAGAGGACCGATAGTGACAGATATTCCTTTCCCTTCCCAATTTCCCAACTTGAAGTGAAGAGGGCACATGTCTGCCAGTACCCTCATCCCTGGACTTTCATGTGCACACACACACGCACACACACACACACACAAATATATTTACTTTTGAATAGTACAGTGTGAGAGGGACCCGAGGTGTTACAGGAGGGTAGGAGGGCATCTACCAAGAGTGCTCACATCGGGCGCAAGTCACACTTCCAGGGAGTCAGGCCCAGGGAGGTGGCGGGAGAATGTCTCCTGTCAGTCTTCTCCCACTTCTAAATCTCTTCCCTTCTCTCCAGGCTTCCTGTGCTGTGCTCAGGGGGCTCATTTCTCTTACTGTCTGTTCCCCCTTATCTGTTGTCATCACTTCAGGCAAAAGAGGCCTGTTCTTCTAGCTCCGGGTTAAGTAAGAAGGGATCAAAGCATTGAAAACATCCCCCTCTCTCACTTACCCTACACCCAGGACTCCCCTGTTCTTCAAAGTGTTACTGAGTGACTCCCCAAACCTTGGCCAGTCAAGGGTCTAAAAGCTCAAAGAACTTTATAGAATCTTTTGCCCTGAAGTGTGGGCAAAAGAATCATGGCTGCTTCTCTTTCCCTATAAACTTCCTAGAAAGTTCTTGGCCTAAACTGGTTGAAACCATTGGCAATCACTGAAAAATAATTTTTGTACCTTGCTTTTGTAAGATCGTCTCATTTCTTCTTCTTATATATATATGTTTTGTCTCCAGTACACAATCTTTGTCAAGAACTTCCATTCTTCCTATTCAGGAAGGTGAAGGGGAAGACAGCCAACATTTGGGTAGCATATGACCATCTCCGTTTGTATATAAGCCAAAACAAGCACATTGCACAGGGATAGGGCGAAAAACAATACAAGGAGTCAAGGTATGAATTTAGAGGCACCCGCCGCAGGTATGTGCAAGTGTACCCAGACACACACGCCCACACGATCCCCTGCCCTGGCTTCCAACACACCATGGAACACCATCAAAGTGAACTCTCCAGTCTGCTCAGGAATCCACTCATCCACCAATGACCTTTCACTCCAGTTCACCACAAATGAGTCTCATGGAGCTGAAGCAAACATCTCTTTTTTTGGCTTATATATAAACATGCATGGTCTCTCACCTTCTGCTGGCCACACAACTCTAGGCAGTTGTCGTCTATACAATAAGAATTTAGCAAAAGGCTCTTTCCATTCACAACTGGATGCTGGCTGGTATCACTTGAATACTTTTGCTCCCCCGTCTAAATGAGAAGATCAGTTTGGGGAAAGCTAATCCTGTGGTCACGCGGCCCTGCGCTCCTCCTGGCCTCCCTCAGAGTGCCCGGCAAAGAGCTTGTCTGTGTTAGGAAGACTCTCTCCCCCAGAGTGCGCCCTTGCTCCCCTCCTCCGTCCTGTGCTGAGGGCCTGCTTCGGCCTCTCGCAAGGGACCAGAAATGGCAGACAGATGAGGGGAGGAAGGGAGGGCTGTGAAAGGGAAGAGAGATGGTGCTAGTCACCAGGGTTGCCTTCAGTAGGAAGCAGAACTCCAGGATCCCGTAAATAAAGTAAAAGAAGAAGAAAGGAGCAAATGGGAACCAAGTTCATCCCCGACCCCCCTGTGACATGCGCACCACGGGGCCCACAGCCCTGCCCCTCCCATGCCCACCGTAACCTCTCTCTTCCCTCACTCAGACATCGGACTCGATACTAGAAAGTTTCTCATAAACATGCCCATTGCTGGAGCCATTGAAAGCCCTGGGGTTTTTGTTGTTAGGCACACAGGGGTTGGACTGGTTCCCTATACAGATGTCCTTCTGGAAACGGCCTGGCACAGCCCCGTGCAGGGCCGAGACCATCGGCTTGTTGGTGACAAGGGCCCGGAAGTCTGGCCTGGCTTTCGACGCACCTGCCACCGTGGGCTGCCTGAAGAAGTAGGATTTGCTGCCATGGAGCAAGCACTGGTCGTCCCCAAAAGTGGGGATGAAAGGGTTTTGCGTGACCCGGTCGGGGTAGAGCGACTTGCTGAGCATGTAGCCTCCGCCAGGGTTGTTGTGGTGGTGGTGTCCGGCAGCGGGCACCGAGGACTTGCTGTTGGCAAAGGTGCCGTCACCGGCGGGCATCTCAAACATGTGGGCGTAGGGGCTGCCATCCACGAAGCGGCCCTTGTCTTTCAGGCTCACGCTGCGCGGGGCCAAGGCGGCTTCTTCCTTCTGCAGGTCCACGAAGGTGTCGTAGGAGTGCTGCCGGCGCAGCTTGTTGCGGCTCTTCTTCTGCGCCTTGGCATTGGTCGGGCTCTGCGGGTACTTGGCGCTGGCCGCGTTCGACGCCACCGCCACCGGGGCCGCCGGCTGGTCCAGCTCCTGCAGGGAGTTGTCCTCGCTGATGTCGTACAGGTTGCCCGCCTTCTTGCAGGCCTCGCACCGGATGCACGCCTGCCGGCCCGAGTTCTGGCCCGCCACGGCGGAGTAGTTGTGCAGCTTGGAGGGGCAGCTGCGGCAGAAGTTGGCCCCGGCCCGGTCCTCCCAGTCCACGCTGGTCAGGTTGTTCTCCCAGGGCGCCGGCACCCCGCCGACCACGCCATGTTTGTCGCCCGCCCCGTGTTTGAGGTGAGAGCGGTTGGCGCAGGGCCCTCCTCCGCCCAGCGGGTCGCGCTTGAAGTCATCGCTCCGCTCCTTGTAGATGTCGGTCAGATCCACGTGTTCCCAGTGGGGCGAGTTCTCCTTGGTTCGAAACTGGTCCAGGTAGAAGTCCCGCAGCCCCTCCTTGTCCCTGAAGCAGCGCTTGTGGTCCGGGGAGCGGGCCGGCCGCCGGCGGTAGGCGAGCTCGATCTCGTCGAACTCGCGCCTGGACTTGGCCGAGGCCGGCCGCTTCTTCAGGCTGTCCTTGTACTGCTGCTTGCGCCGCTTGGCTGCGTTGCCCTCAATGTTGCCGTAGGTGACCGTGTGCGTGGAGATGTCCGAGACATCTGAGCGGATCAGGTCGTCGTGGCCGCCGTAGCGGTCACTCTTGAAGGAGAACTTGCCGTACAGGTCACTCAGCTGGCTGTGTTTGGAGGAGGGCAGGCCGATGTCCAGCGGCTTCTTGCCGAGGGACCTGGGCTGGGTGGTGAAGGGTGGGTTGTCGCAGTCGTAGAGCCCGTCGATGGAGCTGGTGCTGCCGATGCTGTGCGGCCGGTGGTGGTGGTGGTAGTGGTCTTGGTACACGTTGCTGTCCTTCAGCTGCAGGTTGCCGAAAGTTCGCTCCACCTCGCTGATGTAGTCACTGAAGAGGTTTTCCTCGCAGGGAGGGTTGTTGTAGGACTTGCAGTCTGAGTGCGTGAAGCTGCGGCGGTGCTCGGAGATGTCATAGACCGAGGACTCCCGGCGGATGAAGTCCAGGGCGCTCTGCGGGGAGCCGTTCACGCCAGACAGGTTGGCCATGTTCTTGGCCGTGCGCAGCAGGCGCAGGATGTTGGAGTGCGTGTTGTTCATGGTCGCAGTGGGGGAATTCATCACGGACTGGCGCTCCTCGATAGCCACTCCGTGGATGCAGCTGTAGATGCCCTGAAGTGACACAGGATGGGACAGGTCAGGGACAGGGCAGTGAAGCCACAAATGACCATAATCAGAGTACTCCCGCCACCAACTGCTAAGCGGAGTCCGAAAAGGCCAGGGAGAGCTCGAAGCACAAAGGTTCGAGCACTTATTTAGGGTGTGGCCTGAGCCCATCTGTCTTGTCTCCTGAATTCAGCAAGTTTCCTGGGTGAGCTAAGGTTAATGACGTGGCTGTCAGAGAGGGGGCATGACTACACCAAGCGACCTAAGCACACAGTCTGGAATCGCAAAACGTGATGTGCTTGCCTCAAGTCCACCCTTGACTTACCCTGATTTTTTAAATCTATGCCAGATTTTTGCATTGTAAAAATAAGGCCATGATATGAACCCATAGCAAAAAAATATTGCCAGTCACCAGAGGTAAATGGAAAGCTCTACCGATGCCAGGGCTGTTCTGCCCCGGCTGGCCACTCCCGGCGGGCAGCACACAGCAGGGGCTCAGAAGCTCGCAAGCATCACTCTTTTCTGGGTTGGACAAATTTTGGTCACCAAATAACAGCTGAGCAATTCTGTTCTTTAGCCAAGCATGAACCAAATTCACACAGAGAATTAAGAAGCCCTGGGGTTAAAGAAGGATTTTTCTCCCGCTGTGCTCTACACTGTGGGAGGGAAGAATTGGGACAAATATCAAGCATTAAATATGAATAAATAATTCCCCTGTTGAATAGTCTTCTTTATTCTCTCCTTAGTTCCTGATTTCCTTCTTACACTTTCTCACTTAATATTATCATAAATAATTAAAGTTTTATCAAATTAGTATCGATGTAAACTCCCTCTGTACACTTCCTGTATGGGGCACTGAAGAAGAGCATCCATGAGAAGGAAAGAGTTTGAGATCCCAGAGGGCCTGCTGTGTCCATGTCTGACAGGAAGCCAACCTACTGCTCACCTTTTGCTGCCTGCTTTGAAAAGTAGACTTCTCTCTCTGGGAGGGGAAGGTACCTGAAGGATTTTGATTGCTTTTACAACGAAGAAGGTTAATTTGGAAAAGGATATTGTCCCAATGGATGGGGATGAGAGCAGAGAATGACAGCTGGGTAGGATTAAGAAATGAGTCTTCTGTCTCAGAGGGCATCACAAGATATAAGATCTTCCAGGTGAGGCAATTCTGCCTTCTTTCCTGTTCCTCTTTTCTAACTGTTCTTGGTGATGCCCAGGAGAAAATGTAAGCATTTTTCCTCTGTAAAGGGACTGACTATGTCAGAGGTTTATGAAAGGGATTGCTACCAAGGTCACTGATTGCCGCTTATTTTGTCCTCCCTCTATCTGGAACCAAAGGGAAGGGTCACAAACTGAAATGGTACATCTGAGGGACCAAAGCCACCACAAGCTCCATGCTCCTGTTCTGACCTTACTGAGTGACCCAAATTAACTCCCAGCCAGAGAGGAAATGAAGAAATTGTGCCCTATCAGTAAAATACTATCAGAAAATGACCAGAGTATGAAACAATTTAATGAGATAGCCATTTTCTTTCATAACTCCACTTGAGTCAAAGTAGGTCATATCTGGAATGTGGATCTCAATCCTAAAAGGTCATTTAAGTTCACCCTTCATGAGTTTCACAACCTTATTAACAAAATCAAAAGAAGCCCACTCTTTTTTAAAAACATCTCCCTGTGACTAGTTGTTCATGTGCAAAATTGTCTTCCTAATGCTTCACTTTGGACTAAAAATAAAGAGATCTCCAGAAAAAAAATGATCTAAGAGTTATTCTCTTGCTCTGATTAAGGAAGTTTCTGGGGTAGAAATTTCTTATCTATCAGGACTTATTTCTGAAGGTCCTGTTGAGCTCTTTAACATCCCATAACCCACATATGGTTAAAACATAGGATGAGTGAAACCACCAATAACATATCCTTGTATGTTAGAGTAAGAGGGATATATGTTACATTGCACTATTTAAATTGAAATGTGATTCTTTTAAAGGATTGAATGATTAATAAAGTCTATACATAGTCAACTAATTTGTGATGAAAGCATTTGGGAAGAAAGCCATTTTGATAGATCTGCCAGTTCTTATTGAGAACCAAATGCTCAAACCTCACATAGAAAGATATTTCTTAAAGGAAATATACTTTCACCCGCATTTTGAGCCACTTGAAACTGCATCACACAAACTCCTAGGGGAAATGCACATGATGTGGTTTCTTGCTTTAGCAACATAAGGCTGGAATTAGTGCCCTCTTGGGTCTCTTGGTGTAGTCTCTGTGCTTCGTAAGCCAGCTTCACAAGCTCTAGGCATCTAAATCAAAGCACTTACTCTGCTGATGGAGAAGACCATGCCAGGCTTGCCAGAACAGACCCCCATAAAGCAGTGCCGGAATTGCCAATAGAAAAGATGTTCACAGATGAAGGTGATAAGGCTGAGAGCCATGGCTGCCCCCAACATGTAGAAGACGCCCGCCATGTTGTCAATGTCCAGCTGGCTGCTCATGACCTCATTCTTCTCATTGTGGCAAATGCCAGTGAGCCAGAGAGCTTCCAGTTCTTCCATCTCCCCTGGAGACAGAGCAGAGAAGAAAAACAGATAAAGGGGGAAGAGAGGAAAGGGGTAGAAAAAGGGGGAAAAGAGGAATATTGAGGAAGAGAGAAGAAAGACAAGAAAGAGACAGGGAGACACAAAGCAAATGAATAGAAAAAAGTTAACAGTAATTTCACTAATACCACCACAGTATATATTAATTCATCAATGTGTACAGTCACTATTCAATGAAAACTTCACGAGGGCACTGCAGGTGATACAAAGATGTGACACATTGCCATTGCTGTCCTTTATCCAGTATAAATTGGTATATGGTGAGTTATATGTGATATCGGTAATTGTTCAAATTGCTGAGAGTCACTGTGTGGATAGTCATCAGTGGGTTTTCACAAGGAAGACTTGGGACTGGACACATGGACACAATGGATGAGTAATTTTTTTGTATTATATGAAAAGGTATTCCAGGCAGCTAGAATAGTATGATCAGTGGAGGGGACGTGGGAAATTCAAGGCTCATTTAGGAAAAAGTATGAAGAACAGAATAATAGTTGGCAAAAGAAGCAGAATAAAAGACTGATGGGAGAATTCTGAGGATTTCTGTATCAGACCAAGCACTTTGCACTTTGTAGACAGTGTGGAGAATGACATAATCACATGACTCAGAAACTTTCTCTTAAAATTGTGCCAAGTAGATTGGGAAGGGGAAAGAGAGAGGCAGAGATCAGCAGAGAGACTGCTTTATTCCCTGGGGTCCCTCAGATTTATAGACCTCATGTTGTAGAGGAAAATACAAAAAGCAAAAGAGGAGTACGCTTGAATAAAACAAGACCACCAAAGTTAGACCTGCCTCCTCTTAACACTGCCTGTGGATGTTTAGATTACTTCAGCTCTGTCAGATTTCAATGGTCTTTATCTACTTCACTGGGTACTAGGAATTGGAAAGGTAGAAATGCTAGACAAAAGGAAAATGAAAAAAAATCACATGCCCAAGAACACCTCTCATCCCAAGCAATAAGCAAGCAATATTCTGAAAATCTCCTGAAGAAAACTATCTGTTCCAATAGTTCCAGTTTGGTTTAAAAAAAGAAAGAAAGAAAGAAATCGAACTTTGCATAATCTGATTAAAGCTGACAACTTTCACAAATCCTTTCTATGGTTTCTCAGGCTCCACTTTTTCCTGTAAGTGATAACAACCACAAAATTGCAGAAGCTCTTATACCGAAATTGCTTGTTCACACTCCAGCCACAACTGCCTGTTAACTAGTGGAGCAGTCAACTTCACCTATAGTCTGAAAATCCACCTCTGGTCTTCTGCTTCTGATCTCATCCCTAACAGTCCAAGTTCTGCCACCCAATTTAGAAAGCCGCTTGGCTGATGGTCTTTGGAGCTATGCAGGGTGACTCTGCATATCTGTAACTGGATTAGTTTCTATGAGCATGACAAGAAGAGTAGGTGCTCTGGACAATAAAGTGATGAAAAATACAGGAAACCTGGGTGTAATGAAGTTGAAGAGATTTTTCTCAATGCAAGCTGGCTACTCAGCCTGCTGCCAGAATAACATGGAGCAGTGCTTTGTGGTATCTGGCCCTGAAGACCCTGCCTTCTCTCTCACCTCTTCCAGCCACAAAAGCAGGGTGGGAGAATGTGAAGAATGGGTAAACGGCCACATTTTCACTTCTCTGCCCTTTTTTCTGAGCACATAGACAGCCAAGTCCTCCCACAGTTCCATCTACTGTTTGGGCTACTTGTGAGGTGGCTGATTGGAACATCTACATGAGCCTTTACCTACTTTATTCCAGGATCATGAAATGTACTTTCTTGATCAACAACTTTAATTTCCTCCATCACCTTTCACACAGTATAGGTTGAGTTGTGTCCCTCTTCTCCCATAAATCACATTATGAGGTCTTAACCTCCCGAGCCTTATGATATGACTTTATTTGGAAATATGGTCACTCCAGAGGTAACTAGTTCAGATGAGGTCCTACTGCAGTACAGTGGGCACCTAACACAATATGAATAGTCTTAAGGAAAAGGCAAACTCAGACATATAGATGTAGAGAGAGCAAACATGCACACAGGCAGATGGCCATGTGAATCAGGGGAAGGCAAAAGTCATGATGCTTCTACAAACCAAGGAACACCACATATTACCAGAAAACTGTCAGAAACCAGGGGAGAGGCATAAAGCAGATTCTCCCTTGCAACCCCCAGGAGAAACTAATCTTACTGACACCTTGATTTTAAACTTCTAATCTCCAGAACTTGGAGCCAATACATTTCTGTTGTTTAAGTCACTCAGTTTGTGGTACCATCTTATGTCAGCCCTAGGCATCTAATATATACCCCAAATCCCATTATAAGCTGTGAAATGCTTTTTGGAAATGCACAGGTTAGAAGAATAGAGATGTGAGAAAGGTTGATATTGTGGCCTTTTTTTGTAAAGACTTTCTTTAGCTCACCATCTCCAAACAGCTGCAGGATAGCAAGGTCCACCTGGCGCTTCCACCCAGAGTCTTTCTGGATGGCAATGCCATAACCAGTGGAAGCAAAGACCTTGCCGCTCCCGATGGTCACCAGCTTGCAGCCTTCATCTCTGCCCGCCATGTAGTTCAGCACTGCAGCATCGTAGATGAAGGCATCCAGTTTCCTGCACAAGAAAGAGGCAAACAAATCCAAAGGGGGAGTTTTAGGATGAAACTGCCTATGGGACCATTAATATGAAGCAGCAGTGGAAAGTAAGGCTGAGGTTGGGCCACTGCCAGAATTTCAGCCCTGAATCCCAGGCTGTTCTTCATGTGACTTCTGGTTGAAAGGAGTGCTTTGCCTCCCACTGGGAATGATAAGAATGTAAGGTGGGGGCCGGGGATTTAGCTCAGTGGTTTCACCGCCTGCTGTGCAAGCACAAGGACATGAGTTCGATCCCCAGTACCAAAAAAAAAAAAAAAGAATGTAAGTTGGGCCTGAAGCCAACTCATAAGCTGCGTATGGAAAGCAGAAGGAGTAAAAAGGAATCAATAAAAATAATAACAGAAATAATGAAAAGTAAGCACCACAATGATAACAAATAGCATGGGTAAGATTTATATAACATTTTTCATTTCTCAGTTCATTACAGTCCGGAGTGGGGATAAGTGTAGGTGTGTGTGTGTTTCGATAGATGGCTGCTGCTATTTTTGTGGCCAGAAAGGTTTCAATATTTTGCTGTGTAGCACAAAGACGAGGGTAGCGGTGGGGTGGTGGCAGCACAGGCTGTGTGAGAGTAAATGTGAGACACTGCAAAAGCAGGTGACAAATGGAAGAGGCCAGACCTCTCAAATTCCTAAACATACACAAGCTTCATTTTATGCATTGTGCTTCCTAAGACTAAGAGTAAGGCCAGAAAGGCATGAATCCATGTTTAAAATCAACATTTGAGTAGATATCAAAGGTAGAGGAAGAAATCCAGACAAAGCCATACAGGTTTGAAAGAAATGCCATGCCTCTTCCCCTGCACTTCTATACGGTAAGTAGGATTCTCCCTCCTTGAGAAAAAATAAGCTATTCCTGACATGATATGACACAGGACACTTTATAGAGGTGCCCTTCAGGAAGGCAGTGTATCAAAAACCCAAAACTCCAATATGCCTGAGAACTCTGGGTATACCAGGGTTTGGACTACCCAAGGCGATCTTGTACCATCCCCTGAAATCTATTGTGATTTTATTTATGTTTAATACGAATCCCATAGTATTTTATGCAACCATGTGTCTAGGTGGCCCTTCCAGACCCAGAACTGTGGGGACAATGAAAGGAGGTCCCTATGCTGCTAGTCATTGTACAACGGGAAAATCGTGACAAGATCCCTTGGCCCCCAAATCCCACTGCAATGCTCTAGTGGCTATCATGGCCCACAGCTCTGGATTCTGGAAACTAAACAGAAAGGGGACAAGGGTGCCTGCTGTGAGGCATGCCAGCACACTGGTGCCCCATGAACATTTTACTGAGCACATACTCCTTGAATCCAAAGCTGGCTCCCAAAGAGAGCCAAGGAAAGCTGAACTGGAGATCAGACAGCACATTCTCACTTTTTGTTATCTAAAATCTTTAATACTTCTCTCTTTTATTTCTCCATTGTCCATAATACTCCAAAACTACCATTTTCACCTCTTAGAGACTATAGTTCTTTTTTATGCATACCGTATGAGCCTTATCCTTGACTCTTCCCTTCTACTTTTATATCTATTTAATCTCTGCTCCACAATTACATTAATGCAATTAATAGAAAGTAGTGTGTGAAAAAATACACAGAAGTAATAGAATGAGAATCTTTGTACATTGGCTTGAACTATCATCTCCAACGTAACTGGGAAATCTGTAGAGAGCAAATAGTCTTCTCTGATTTAACATGTTACGGCACCAAGGATGATATCTGCTGGTACGTCTGATTCAATATATGTTTAATAAATGTGAGAAGCACATCACTCTGTGCGTGGAAGTAGTCCTTACCCTGTTTTCAGGGAGAGCAACGCATCATCTACACCCCTCTGGTTGAACTTTCCCATGTAGGCGTGCATTTCTGCGTAGTTATTGCGAATGTTCCTCTCTGTGCTACCATTGGGCACAGTCCCAAAGCGAAAAGGGGGGGAGAAGTCATTAGGTCTCTGGAACTGGAGAGAGAAAGAGAAGGAAGCGGGTGGGTAAAATCCTTTAGAAAATATGAAGAGACATTAAGTTAGCATTAGCAGGTTTTTAATGCAAGGGACCCAGCGGTAATTCAGTAAACACATTTACCCTCACTCAGGATTGGCAATTGCTATCTAGAAGTGGACTTCAATTCAACTTATTTAATAATATTGTTGAGAGAGTTCTCTGCCTAACTCTGACTTTAATCCATAACCTTGTGTGTTCCTTTTATGCACACTGTACAATACCAGCGATGATGACCCAGAAAGAGATACGCTGTATCCAGGTCTCTTATTATAAGAATCTAAATACATTGTTATTGCACTATTAAGGACGCAGGGCCTTGGTGAGGAGAGTACATTGTATTCCTGAAGATAATGTGTTGAATATTAAATACATTTTACTAAGAAATTTTCTCTTGACTTTCAAAGCATTCAAAGCTCATATTTATCCTACATAAAGTGTCAGATAAATTTCAAGGTCAAATACCATATTAATTATGTCCTCTCCTTGGTGAAATACTGAGGGTAGATCTCTAGTGTCTACTATATTAAAGTGAAACTTCTTGGATTTTCACCTGTATGACATCAGCTTTATTTCTGGCTAGGATCCTACAATGAGTAAGTCTTCATATTGCTCTCTGAATTCATAATTTATTCACTTGTATGCCTGGTAAAGTGCAGCTCCTTAACAGAAACCCACCTTATCCTCTAGGCCAATTCATATCCTTCATTTCAAAAGAAAACTCAAAGCAATTTCTTCAGGAAATATTCTGTGAATTCTTTCTTCTATCAAGCTTACCCAAAGTGATCCATTAGTACATTATTCTGGTTTAGATCACTGTAATTCATACTACAAATTTAATTACTCCTAAATGTGCTGGCTAAGTAATGAGAGCCAGTTTCTAATGCAGTCATTAAGAGTTTAGGCTAGACAGTAAAACAGACAGATTGAAGACCAGCTCTGCCACTTGGAGCTGTGAGACCTTGAGCAAACCACATAAATGCTTTGTTTACCATTTTCTCCTCTGTAAGAAGGAGCTAATAATGCCTAGTTTTCAAGACTGCTTTGAGAATTAAACAATATAACACACACGAAGGGCTTGACCCAGCACCTAGCATGCAATAAGTGCTCAATAAGCGTTCTCATATTATTGTAACTCATGTCTCTATTCTGCATTTCCTAGTAAACTTTAGGTTCACCAAGCTTCTCCTTCTATAAGAATAGCAATTATAGGATATGACTAGGGTAGCCTGCTGTGCCTTTGGAGAAGAAAAAATGAAGATATTTAGGCTTCATGATTTCAACCCTCTATCAGTTACTTTGAAAATATAGTTGAAAATCTAAACTCTAATTTTAGTTTTTAGATCTAACCTGCTAACTCAGGAAAACTCTGAACCTTCAGAATTGCCTGCCTTAGAAGCCATTCTTTTCCTTTTTCAGAATTTGAAGGTTTCATAGGGCACGAAATGTCACAACACCAGGAGCTGAAAGTACCCTCTTAACTGCTCACTGTTGCTGACAGTCAAAGTAGACTCATGCCGTGGTGTTAGACAGTTTGGGATGGATCAAAAGACCACCACTTCCTGATCATAACAGTGCTTCTAACATTAAAAATTTTGGTTTATTTTTAGAAGGTTTGTAACTTTTAAATGAATAAAGATAATGCAGAACACTCTGAGTTTTAGGGACGAAGGGATTACTCAAGGTTAACCAGATGAAACCTTTCAGTTGAAAATGACAGGACAAGTGATTGGCTCACCTTCACACAGTAGCAATGATGGTTAACATTATTGGATCCCAACTGGTCTGATTAATAGTTATCCCACTATTCCCAGTAGATACTAAGTTGAAGGTCAGTTGGGATGTGCTTTACTGGGGAGACAGACACCAGAATTCCTTGCATATAACTTTCCAACATACCACTCCAGATGTTTGAATAAAGGTATTCCCCAAATCAAAAACAGAGTAGATAATATGACAGGCAGCAATGTAACCAAATAATCTAATCAGCAAATCCTCACTTTGCTGAGGCAACAACAGCTGATGCTCATAATGACTATGATACTCTATGGCTCAAAGTATTTTCTGAAACATCAATGAAAGTTGTAATCATGTTCAATATAGTTCCAGTATAAATTACTGCACTATAACTTTAAAAAAAATTGGTAATCCATGCAAATCCATGCAAAAAGTTTTGATTAACTAAATGGAATCCTATGTTCAGAGTCCCTCACTTTCTAATGAGACTTCACACTAGAAAGCTTCCATATTACATGGAGATTTCTCAAAAACTAAAACTAGAAATCAAATAATGACAAATGCTGGCAAGGCTCCAGGGAAAAATGAACACTTCTACATTGTTGGTGGGAATTTAACCTGTTCAGCCACTGTGGAAATCAGCATGGAGATTCCTCAGAAAACCAAAACTAGAAATTCCATTTGGCCCAGCTACTGTATCCCCCTTCTACATATCTTCCTCAAAGAGTTAAAAACATTACAGTAATACATGCATACACATGTTTACAGTAGCACAATTCACAATAGCTAAGTTTTTGAGGTGGCCTATATGTCCATCGATAGATGACTAGATAAAGAAAATGTGGTATTTATATACAATGGAGTACTATTCTTCCATAAAGAAGGATAAACTCGAGTCATATGTAGGTAAATCCATGCACCTGGAGATCATAATGTTACGTGAAATAAATTGAACACACAAATTTAAATGTTGCATGGTTTCTCTTGTATGAAAAATCCAAAATATAAACAGAGAGCAAAATAAAAGATACATAATAAAGAATATGAACATGGACCTTTTGCAAAAGGGAAAGGGACTAAGGGATGCAAGGGATAGAGGGGAGAAGGAAGAGGGATAAAACTTGAGATGTGTTATGTACATGTACCAACTCCCCATGAAGAATGCATATCATTATGTACAGAAAAAAGCAAAAATTTAAAAAAGCATCCATAATGCTTTCTAGTCACTTTTAATTTTAGGTCATCTTTAGACTTTTAGATGCTGTTTTACAACTGTATCCTTGAGTAAATAAAAACTCAGGAAATGATAAAAGATCTAGAAGAGCAAGAAAACATTGAAAAAGAAGAACGAAATAGGAAGATTTATACTATGTGAGTTCAAACTTCATTGTAAAGCTATAGTAATCATAACAGCAAGGCACTGCAACAGAGATAAGATGAAGAGACCATTGTAACAGAATAGAGGGCTCACTAGCAGACCCACACGGATATGGAACAAAGATAATTCAGTGGAGATGATCTCATTTTCAACAAATGGTGTGGAGATAATTAGATATTTGTATGCAGAAAAGAACCTCATAAGATGTGCAGAAAGTAACTCAAAGTGGATAATATACCTAAAATGTAAATCCTAAAACTCTAAAATTTCTAGGAGAAAGTATTTGTAACTTTGAGTTAGACAAATATTTCTTAGATACAACACCAAAATGCACTATCTACCCCCCACGGAATTAGACTTCATGAAAATTATGAACTTCTCTTGAAAAGATGCTGTAAAGATCATGAAAAGATAAGCCACCAACTGGGAGAAATATCTGAAAATGAATTAAGGCCAATAAGGAACAAAGGAAATAATAACATGGCAAACTTATACAGTTGAAGCATCTTCCATAAGAAAATAATCAGAGAAACCAACCCAGTCAGGACTGGGAAGAATGAGAAGGTATAGTCCTGTGGAAAAAATTTATTTTGGGGAAGACACTCTAGATTTGAGTTCCAGCTCCACCTCATGCTGGCTACAGGAACATGGTCAAGTTACTTAAATTTGTGGAGCCTCATTTTTCTGGAAGTACTATTTTAATGGCTAAGGTAGTATGTAGAAAAACACTAAACGCCATATTTAGCACATGGTGAATTTTCAAAATTGTTAGCTTCTGCAGCAATGCAGTTGCAATGTCTAAAATTGTCCTGTGTAAGGCAATGTTTCCTCAGATGGAAACTTGTTCCTTAAACTAGGCCAGTCTGGGGTCCAACAGGGAGAGTACATTGCCCTAGAATCAGCCACATCTGAGGCAGGAATAAATTTCCTTTTTTTTCTTTTCTTTTTTTTTTTTTAGATTCTTGTCCTAGCTTGATAAGATCTGTGAGGTTTAAATAAAACATAGATTTTCAAAAACTGTCATTGGAACTTGAACTTTACTAAAATTTGCATTCATGGAGAAATACATGTTAAAAGAGGCCCATGGGGAAAAATGTCAAAAAAATAATCTTCCAATATGCTGATGTTTCCAATAGATGCCCTCATAATAAAACTAATCCCAAGCTGTAAGGCATTATTGCTTAACCTGAGTAGCAGTCAATGTTCTCTGGGTTTTTTTTTTTTTTTAGAGGAATAAAGTTTAGCTCCATTAAGCACCAGAAAATGTCTTAAAATATGACAGAAAAGACCTTAAAATTAAAAAAAAATTTTAAAAACCCGATTAACAGGGAGACCAGTAATTACATTAAAGCAAATAGGATATTTTTAATGGTACTCCTCATAAATAGTGCTCATAAATAACCTTTGACCATCACAAGGCTTCTATGAACTTGGAATTGTTTTCTAGGAACCCCCCAGGTTGGGATGATCAAAGCATGGGTTTGGATAAGGAAATAAAAACACAGATGGGAAGGAATTTTAAGGATCAGTTCCACTTCACAGATGAGGAAATCAAAGGCTTGGAGAGGTCTCTGAGATGTTCAAGGCCACAAGGTGTAGCAGGACAAACAGACCTGCCTGAGTGCAAGCTCTCACGCTAGCAGAACAACTCTGCTTCCTGGAGAGCGAAGCATACAGCGTAAGTGAGGCACATGGTGAGGGAGGCATATCAAGTGCCAAAACCCACCCTTTCCCCTGGGCTCCACCCATAACCCCCAGCAATTACTATAAGGCCACGTCTGCACACAGGCAGAACCACTGTGGAATGCTAGGAGAAAGGCATCTCACTTGACTCTCCTCTCTGGG